TGTTGGGAAGGGTTGGATCCATTCAGACAGGGTGATGCTCATCTGGGGTGGGGTGATGTTGGGAAGGGTGGGATCCATTCAGACATTGAAGTGATCCATTCAGACATTGAGTGATGATGCTCATCTGGGGTGGGGTGATGTTGGGAAGGGTTGGATCCATTCAGACAGGGTGATGCTCATCTGGGGTGGGGTGATGTTGGGAAGGGTGGGATCCATTTAGACAGGGTGATGCTCATCTGGGGTGGGGATGCTGATGTTAGGAAGGGTGGGATCCATCCAGACATTCAGACAGGACAGGGTGATGCTCATCTGGGGTGGGGTGATGTTAGGAAGGGTTGGATCCATTCAGACACTGAGTGATGCTCATCTGGGGTGTGATGTTGGGAAGGGTGATCCATTGACAGGGTGAAGGGTTGGATCCATTCAGACATTGAGTGATGCTCATCTGGGGTGTGATGGGTGGGATCCATTCAGACATTGGGAAGGGTGGGATCTTGGGAAGGGTGGACAGACAGGGTGATGCTCATCTGGGGTGGGGTGATGTTGGGAAGGGTTGGATCCATTCAGACAGGGTGATGCTCATCTGGGGTGGGGTGATGTTAGGAAGGGTTGGACAGGGTGATGCTCATCCATTCAGACAGGGATCCATTCAGACAGGCTCATCTGGGGTGGGGTGATGTTAGGAAGGGTGATGGATCCATTGTTAGGGACATCTATTCAGACATGATGCTCTCATCTGGGGTGGGGTGATGTTAGGAAGGGTTGGATCCATTCAGACAGGGTGATGCTCATCTGGGGTGGGGATGCTGATGTTAGGAAGGGTGGGATCCATTCAGACAGGGTGATGCTCATCTGGGGTGGGATCCATTCAGACAGGGTGATGTTGAGGGTGGGTGTTAGGATCCATCTCAGACAGGGTGATGCTCATCTGGGTGGGGTGATGTTGGGAAGGGTGGGATCCATTCAGACAGGGTGATGCTCATCTGGGGTGGGGGTGATGTTGGGAAGGGTGGGGGTTGGATCCATTCAGACAGGGTGATGCTCATCTGGGGTGGGGGTGATGTTAGGAAGGGTGGGATCCATTCAGACAGGGTGATGCTCATCTGGGGTGGGGTGATGTTGGGAAGGGTGGGATCCATTCAGACAGGGTGATGCTCATCTGGGGTGGGGTGATGTTGAGAAGGGTGGGATCCATTCAGACAGGGTGATGCTCATCTGGGGTGGGGTGATGTTGAGAAAGGTGGGATCCGTTCAGACAGGGTGATGGCATGAAGGGTTTGGTTAGGGTCAACTGAAGATGTCAGTGTTTAGTGGAGTGAGTGAGTGAGTTTAGTTCTACGCCGCACTCAGCAATATTCCAGCTATATGGCTGCGGTCTGTAAATAATCGAGTCTGGACCAGACAATCCAGTGATCAACATCATGAACATAGATCTGCGCAATTGGGAACCGATGACATGTGTCAACCAAGTCAGCAAGCCTGACCACCCAATCCCGTTAGTTGCCTCTTACGACAAGCATTGTCACCTTTTGTGGCAAGCATGGGTTGCTGAAGACCTATTCTACCCCGGATCTTCACGGGTCAGTGTTTAGTGGAGATATGTGATGTATGTGGAGCTAACTGAGGAGTGGAGGATCAAAGTCATCCAAGAGATGGTTGTTGAATGGACTGAAAAGGTGTGGTTTGAGAAGAATGAAGAGATTGGGTGCACTGATGATTCAATGGCTAGTTTTGGACAGAATGTGTTGATGAAGTGTTGTTTGAGTGGATAGTTGTGTGACAGTTGCTGAAAATGTAAATGACATGGAACCCTGAAACATACCTCCATTACTGCCACTGGAAATGTGTGATGTGCGTCCTGAAAGCAGATAAACAAATATGATTTCACAAATGTCCTTGTTTTTCATGAAATTTGGTAAAAATGTATTTCCATAAAGGGTCATATAGCCAATATATTAACAGACACAACCAAAGATTCACTCACCAAAATCTCGCTTGCCAGGGATCCCTCCCCACAACTTGAGGTACACCATTGTCTGCGTCTGAAAAAGACATTTAATACAAATTAATTATTAGTTTCATTTATAAATCTCCAAACACATCATTCTTGAAAATGCACACAAACTTAAATCATAGCAAACTATCCTCTCTGACACAACAAAGTTGTTTTATTGTGCCACAACCAGACAATCAAGTGACTGATAACCTGGTCAATACGATCCCAGATTAACGTATCACCCAGGTCACACAGCCCCACCACCCGATGGTGGACTTGTACAACACTCATGGTAGTAGTACAGCTTTCTATCCAGACTCCATGGGTAAACAACTACAGGCGGTCATCACAGGAATTATTCTGGACCAACTGCCACAAATGTCAAGCAGTTTATAACTCAAGAACACATACAACCAACAGAGAAAACAAAGTTCTCTTCTGTTGAATATGATTGATGTCAGTCAAAAGTTGGTATAGTTTGACCTTAAGTGGACAATCCGGTGGGTCACAGTGAGAGAATCAGTACATCCTACTCATGGAGAGCTGGTCTTTCAAACTGTACTATCAACGTACTATTGACCTAGAGGGAAACCATTGTGACCACACAATACCCATTTCAGTTGCTTCTAATGAGAAGCATGGGTACTGGGCAACCTACCCTCAAATTCTTGCTTACTGAGATGTTCATAATCAGAGGTTAGTAATCACCTTTGTTCTCATCCAGGTCTTCATTAAACATCTGGCCGCAACCAGGAGGGAGTCCTCTGTTCCGAGCATTTGACTCTGTTATTTCTGAAAGGAAAGACTGTATGTTTGACAAACATTGACAACATCCATCTACACACATCAGGACAACCTGAAGCAAGGCAGGGAAACAACAAGCATCATATATTTGCAGCAACATCCATCTGGCAAATCAGGACATGTATGCAAACATCCATCTACACAAATCAGGACAATCTGGCCATAAGGCAGGGTAACAACATGTCTCATGTATGTGGTACAACATCCATCTACACAAATCAGGACAATCTGACGCAAGGCAGGGTAACAACATCTCTCATGTATGTGGTACAACATCCATCTACACAAATCAGGACAATCTGACGCAAGGCAGGGTAACAGCATGTCTCATGTATGTGGTACAACATCCATCTACACAAATCAGGACAATCTGACGCAAGGCAGGGTAACAGCATGTCTCATGTATGTGGTATAACATGGCCCGGCCATTGAACCACGGACCTGCTGGACTGAAGGTGTGAGTTGGAGGGATTGAAGAGGTGAGTGGATTGAAGGTGAGTGGTTTAGTAGTATTGAAGGGATGTGGGTTGGGTGGAGTGAAGAGGTGATTGGATTGAAGGGGAGGTTTAGGTGTGAAGGGGGTGGGTTGGGTGGATTGAAGAGGATTGTTTAAGGTGTATTGAAGGGGGTGTGGGTTGGGTGGATTGAAAGAGGTGATTGGATTAAATGTTTAGGTGTATTGAAGTGGGGTTAGGTGGATTAAATGTGAGATTGGAATGATTGTCTGGATTGGGGATCATGCCAAATGTAAGGATGAGATGTGGTTTGGAGGATGGTGTGAGAGTTCATTTAAAGGATATGTTATCTGGACACATACCTTCAATAATTCCACTGGACACTACCTGCGGCCGCTCTGAAGTAGACAAACAAACATGCTTATACTGTTGTTCTTGATTCATGGGAAATTTGAAAAAGGAAACTAAACTCAAAAGGCTTTCAACTAAAATATTGTCTGTAGAAACTAAAGATTCACTCACCAATGGATCTTTTGCCAGAGGTCCCCTCTCCGACAACTTGGGGCAAGACGTCCGTTTCTGTTTGCGATGAATGCACAAAACCATTAGCATCATTCATTGATCTCCAAACACAACAATCTTAATTCACACAGTTAAGTTAAAGACATTTCTCAGCCACACCTTCTTTTATTGTCATAGGGCCCTGTCTTTTCACAAATGAACCAGGGCTTGTAACGTAACAAAGTTCAGAAACACTGTAACAGTACATACTTATTATTCCTGATGCAAGTCCACATTTACTACCTGCTTACCCAACCCAATATCCTAACCCTACCGGGTACCCGCTTTATTTTATTGTTATTGTCATTAAACAATACATCACATGACTTTGTACAGCTCCTGTGGGTACCTCTGTCCTACCATATCCAAGTACCTGATTCTCCCATCCCAGCACTGTTCACTATCCCTGATGTGCCTTGGGTGCCTAAATGGCCATGTTTATCCACACAAGCATATTCCCATCTCTAGTTAGGTAGCATGGTACACAATAGTACTTTCCAAGGTATAACTCACCCCGTGGTGTCTGTCTTCCATTGCTGGGCCCTTCTTGGAGGACGTCAAGGTGAAGGTCATCTGCAACTAACAAATGAAAACAGTCAGTCAGACACATATAAAGTTGGTCATGGGCTAGAGTTTTAAAAATAGAATTTTCATGAATACACAAAGATAAATGTCAAGTAATCTTGTGGCGGGGCGTGTGGTCCTGTGCTTAGAGCTCAGGTCAAGAATCAGTTGGAGTTAAGCAATGTTGGGCACGGGGAGTCCTTGGATGGGTGACCGTGTTTGACAGCTTGACTCCTAAGAGTTTCTAGGACTTCTGTCCTGACCCACAACGAAGCACATGTGATACAAGTGGTCTGACCTTAGACAAGTGAGTTTGTTCAAAATTGCCTCTGTTCACCCAGCAGAAAATGGGTACCCAGTGGGATGAAGTCATGTGACTATAACCTTCTAACAGGCAGCTTGGGTTATCGCTTTTGGCATGCAAGTGTGTGGAAACAGGCACATTATAAATGGCCATTATTATTATTTTTTATTATCTCATCAAAGAAGTGACATCTTTTTTAATGAAATGCAGAATTGTTATATCAAAAATATGCACACAAGTCAATTACATTTTTAGTCTTATGCTTGCTGCTCTTGATTGATTGCTGAAAAGTTAATAATCTATGCTTCATAATCACCTTTATTCTCAGACAGGTCTTTATCAAACATCTGGCCACAACCAGGGGGGAGTCCTCTATTTCGCGGCACTGATTCCGTAATTTCTGAATGATAAAGATTAAATGTTTCAAACAATCCTTGGCAAGATAAATCTGTGGCAACCAGGGTGATCTGAAACAACATTCATTAAGTATCTTTTTACACACGGATAATTTTCACTTAATTCCTGAGATCCATGATCTGAACTAACTGAACTGCAACTTCCAATCTCTGTTATGAATGAAGTGGGATGGATTATGCTTCTTTAACAAGTATCACAGTAACATATCACAGCATGTCTGCTAAATGTTGAAGTCATGTAAAGTGAATGTCTGGTCAATTTAGACCTGTTCAACTGGTTCAAGATCAGTAATTATCAGGCAAGTTATTATACAACATTATAATACTAATATTGATGTTTTGAAAATCGATTCACCTAACGTGTATCATAACCCCAAGTGTAACTTGTATAAATAAATATATCAAATCGTGACAACCATAGCAATAGGAAGTCAATGGAACTTATCAAATGGTACTTACTCCGTGTTGTAGAGGATGGGAGGGATGATGAGGTTTGGGCCTCTGGCGGCACAGTGGTTGTGGTTGTGAAGGCATTTTTCTGTATCCATGATGCTACGTACAACACCAAGGACTGTTGTCCACTTGCTTCCTCAGGTCTGCATTCACTTCGGTATTCTTGCTCTGGCTCTGAGAAACTGTTCTCGATCGAGGATATCTTCCATGTGTATGTGAGATGGTCGGGCAGTTGATGCATTCGGTCCGCAGGGAGATCTTGTCGTCCGGGTTCACAAGGCCTCCTCGGCATTGCAGGCAACTTATCTTCAAGCTGAAATATAACAAGGAGTAAAGTGATTATAAGGGTTACAAGGTTACAAGGGTTATGAGGCTACTATAGTTACTAGTATTACAAGGGTTACATGGCTACTATTGTAACTAGTATTTCAAGGGTTACAAGGCTACTATATTAATTAGTGTTACTAATAATACAAGAGTTACAAGGCTACTAGGGTTACTAGTATTACAAGGGTTACATGGCTACTAGGGTTACTTTTAATACAAGGGTTACACAACTACGAGAGTTACTAGGATTATAAGGCTACTAGAGTTACTAGGGTTACTGGTATTACAAGGGTTACATGGCTACTAGAGTAACCAGGGTTACTATGATTACTATGACTGTAAGTGAGTGAGTTTAGTATTCGCTGCACTCAGCAGTATTCCAGCTATATGGTGGCAGTCTGTAAATAATCAAGTCTGGACCAGACAATCCAGTGACCAACAGCATGAGCATCGATCTGCGCAATTGGGAACCGATGACATGTGTAAACCAAGTCAGCGAGCCTGACCACCCGATCCTGTTTGTCTTACGACAAGCATGGGTTACTGAAGATCAATATTCTAACCCGGACCTTCACGGGTCCTATGACTGTAAGGGTTACAACAGTGACTAGGGTAACAAGAGTTACTAGGGTTACAACAGAGACTAGGGTAACAAGAGTTACTAGGGTTACAACAGTGACTAGGGTAACAAGAGTTACTAGGGTTACAACAGTGACTAGGGTAACAAGAGTTACTAGGGTTACAACAGTGACTAGGGTAACAAGAGTTACTAGGGTTACAACAGTGACTAGGGTAACAAGAGTTACTAGGGTTACAACAGTGACTAGGGTAACAAGAGTTACTAGGGTTACAACAGTGACTAGGGTAACAAGAGTTACTAGGGTTACAACAGTGACTAGGGTAACAAGAGTTACTAGGGTAACAACAGAGTCTAGGGTAACAAGAGTTACTAGGGTTACAACAGAGACTAGGGTAACAAGAGTTACTAGGGTTACAACAGTGACTAGGGTAACAAGAGTTACTAGGGTTACAACAGAGACTAGGGTAACAAGAGTTACTAGGGTTACAACAGAGACTAGGGTAACAAGAGTTACTAGGGTTACAACAGAGACTAGGGTAACAAGAGTTACTAGGGTTACAACAGAGACTAGGGTAACAAGAGTTACTAGGGTTACAACAGAGACTAGGGTAACAAGAGTTACTAGGGTTACAACAGTGACTAGGGTAACAAGAGTTACTAGGGTTACAACAGAGTCTAGGGTAACAAGAGTTACTAGGGTTACAACAGAGACTAGGGTAACAAGAGTTACTAGGGTTACAACAGTGACTAGGGTAACAAGAGTTACTAGGGTTACAACAGAGACTAGGGTAACAAGAGTTACTAGGGTTACAACAGTGACTAGGGTAACAAGAGTTACTAGGGTTACAACAGAGTCTAGGGTAACAAGAGTTACTAGGGTTACAACAGAGTCTAGAGTAACAAGAGTTACTACGGGTTACAACAGAGTCTAGAGTAACAAGAGTTACTAGGGTTACAACAGTGACTAGGGTAACAAGAGTTACTAGGGTTACAACAGAGACTAGGGTAACAAGAGTTACTAGGGTTACAACAGTGACTAGGGTAACAAGAGTTACTAGGGTTACAACAGTGACTAGGGTAACAAGAGTTACTAGGGTTACAACAGTGACTAGGGTAACAAGAGTTACTAGGGTTACAACAGTGACTAGGGTAACAAGAGTTACTAGGGTTACAACAGAGTCTAGGGTAACAAGAGTTACTAGGGTTACAACAGAGTCTAGAGTAACAAGAGTTACTAGGGTTACAACAGAGACTAGAGGTAACAAGAGTTACTAGGGTTACAACAGAGACTAGGGTAACAAGAGTTACTAGGGTTACAACAGTGACTAGGGTAACAAGAGTTACTAGGGTTACAACAGAGACTAGGGTAACAAGAGTTACTAGGGTTACAACAGTGACTAGGGTAACAAGAGTTACTAGGGTTACAACAGTGACTAGGGTAACAAGAGTTACTAGGGTTACAACAGTGACTAGGGTAACAAGAGTTACTAGGGTTACAACAGTGACTAGGGTAACAAGAGTTACTAGGGTTACAACAGAGACTAGGGTAACAAGAGTTACTAGGGTTACAACAGTGACTAGGGTAACAAGAGTTACTAGGGTTACAACAGTGACTAGGGTAACAAGAGTTACTAGGGTTACAACAGAGTCTAGAGTAACAAGAGTTACTAGGGTTACAACAGTGACTAGGGTAACAAGAGTTACTAGGGTTACAACAGTGACTAGGGTAACAAGAGTTACTAGGGTTACAACAGAGACTAGGGTAACAAGAGTTACTAGGGTTACAACAGTGACTAGGGTAACAAGAGTTACTAGGGTTACAACAGAGACTAGGGTAACAAGAGTTACTAGGGTTACAACAGAGACTAGGGTAACAAGAGTTACTAGGGTTTCAAAGGGGAAAAGGGGCCTAGTCTTGTAAGAAGTCACAATTCACTGAGCAAAGTTAACATTTGTTAACATCATACAGTTGCCAGTATAAATCACTGCTTTATTAGCTGACTCCATTCTACGACAATGACTTGAATTTTTCCTAAATACGCAGGTCAAATGATGAGTATTGTATTATCTAATGCAATGCCACCATGTAATACAGTATGGCATTACGAGGCATATCATAATAACCCTGTTCAATACAGATATGGCGCTAGAAAACAGTGGTTGATATCAAACAAGTGGTTGATAATAAGAGCAACAATTCATCAATGGATGACAGCACAGACATTGTAGCCACCCAATCATTATCAGTCAGCTTATTAACTTTGAATATCAATATGGAGAGCTCGATCATATTTCATCCTAGAATCTCTACTGGAGTGTAAATTAGAAAATAATGTTTTCATGTTGATAATTTTCTGTCAAAACACTGCATGTGCCTTAGGATCAAGAATTATTGTTTAATATTTCCATATGACACAAAACCAAATAGTTACAGCACATTAGTGGAAAGACTACAGTCAGTAGGACATATATCAGCTGTTGCCATGCTTCATACTGATCCTCCTCTACATCTGGACACACTGAGTTACCTCCCCTGGTCTTTATGCAATGCTTATAATGAGCACACGCTATCAGTAACAAAAGAATTGATTTTTCATACATAATAAATCTGGTGAAACCTTCTTAATCAGGACTGTAGCTTTTCAGCTGAACTATCATCATATACAATATTCAAATTAATGGATGAATTCGTCCTTGTTAATTTGTAGTCATTTGTTATGGTAAATGCACAGGAAGGATGTTTCAATTGTAATGGAGTGCAGATTAAGGGGGTCGCATTACAAACAGAATGCTTCCTGGGGAATTTGTCCAAAAGTTGCAGATTTATAGAATTATTAGTGTTTGTCACCATGAAACCTTAATTTGCAGAACTGTTGTCGCCAGGTCTTGATACAACAGTGAGTGAGTGAGTGAGTGAGTGAGTGAGTGAGTGAGTGAGTGAGTGAGTGAGTGAGTGAGTGAGTGAGTGAGTGAGTGAGTGAGTGAGTGAGTGAGTGAGTGAGTGAGTGAGTGAGTGAGTGAGTGAGTGAGTGAGTGAGTGAGTGAGTGAGTGAGTGAGTGAGTGAGTGAGTGAGTGAGTGAGTGAGTGAGTGAGTGAGTGAGTGAGTGAGTGAGTGAGTGAGTGAGTGAGTGAGTGAGTGAGTGAGTGAGTGAGTGAGTGAGTGAGTGAGTGAGTGAGTGAGTGAGTGAGTGAGTGAGTGAGTGAGTGAGTGAGTGAGTGAGTGAGTAAATACACAAACCTGTAAAGTTTCCCTGACATGACATGCTACAGCTGTACCAATAATAGAAACAATACAAACAACTATAAATAATTCTACAATGGAGCCATGAATATTCAAACTTAAGAGAGTGAGGAGAGTACAAAGGTGACTTTTAAAATTAAATGCTCTTAGGTCTGATGTACTAGGAAGTTAGGATAGCCCAGAGTGTTATATCTAATCAAACAACCCAGATTTAATTCCCAACATTGATATGTGCTGTGAAGCCCACTTTTATTGCCCCTGCTGTGATATTATTCCAAAGTAACACGTACATTTTGATAGGCTACTCCCCAGGGAGCTGAGAATGAAACTGAGTGCAAGCTGATCAAATGAATGTGTAACAATAATGTAATAATGTAATGATGTCATGATGAATTTCATTGCACAAATTCCACATAACGAATGATAAAAGCCAAAAATTATATTTCCCTTGTCACCAATTAAAGTACATTCCATTACAGATTCTCAGCTCCTTAACTTGTCATCTGTTTATCTGGCACAAGAAGGTTCTACATTCAACATTTCCGATCCTACCCATTCAAGGCTGGGGTTGTTTGGTTGGTTGGTTGTTTAACACCGCACTCAGCAATATTCCAGCTTTATGGCGGTGGGGTGTAAATAATTGAGTCTGGACCAGACAATCCACTGATCAACATCATTTGTATCATTCTACGTAACTGGGATATCATGACATGTGTCAACCAAGCCAGCAAGCCTGACCACCCGATCCCGTAAGTCACCTTTTATGAAAAGCATGGGTTGCTGAAGACCAATTCTAACTTGGATCTTCACCGGACTCAAGGCAGCGTAACAGAGGCTGGATACTGATACAATATTGCAAAGTCGGCATAAAATGTCTTGCAGACTCTTTTCGTTTCATGGACCTACCTTATTGTTTGGTTATCCTCTTTGACTTTTATAACTTGATCACTTGTAGCATCGCGGCCATCGGGAGTGGAAACCACCAGCGTGAACAAAAAGTAGCTGTCATCTAGCAGCAGGAAGCCAGCTGGTATGGCCACCTTGGCCGAAGTGAGCACCAACTGAGACGAAACACTGTTGTACACAATGTCGGTGTTGTTGGTGTTGTAGAGGTTGATGGCTGTGATGTTGTAACACAGGTCATACCGAGGCAGTGACTGGCATGTCCAGTTGTACCTGAGAAAGAGAGTGAGTGAGTTTAGTTTTCCATTGCTTTTAGCAATATTTCAGCAATAACACAGCAGGCGACACCAGAATGTTATAAATATACTCATGGAAACAAATAAGGGAACACATGAAAGTACAAGTGTTCCTTTATTTATATCCAGAATTTCACCCACTGTGTAATACATACCCTGTGAAGAAACCTTGAAAAGAATAAAGGAACACTTGTACTTTCATGTGTTCCCTTATTTGTTTCCATGAGTATATATATTATAAATACCAAGAAACAGTCTTGATTGAAGACATTATACAAAACACCGGTTATTTGAATAAGCATTGGTATCTCTCTTGAGGTCTCCCTCCAGTGTCAACAAAAGGCAAGCTAGCTGTCATGGCCGGTTTATTCACTACATTTTGTATGGGTAATCCAGGGTATTATGAAGTCAATGTTTTATAATAATCACTTTGGAGCAATCTGCAACCACTGTTTCGTTTCCATTCAAAACACACAGCACTTAAACAGACATTGACATAACACTCATGATCGACAGAAATTTGACAGGTTGATGGAGATGGTTAGTGAAGAAGACCACCACGACAGCTAGTTTTTCATATACACTAGAAGGAAGTCAGTGAGGAGACGCCAGTATAGGAGTATACACTGTATGACTTCCTCCTACCTGAGTGATGCATTGTGGGGGTTGTCAGGGTCACGGGAGTTGGAACCGTCCAAGTACAGAGTCTCCTGCTGGCCAATGGTGCGCTGCATCCCCCCTTCTATGACACTCTTGAGGGGGGTCGGCAGGATGGTAACCTCCACCGACTCCATGGAGTACACAATGGTCCCGTACATCCCAACCTGACAACAGATAACATCGCTAAGGTGAACAGGTGTGTGTTGGCATCAGATAGTCAGTAAATGATACAGCAGCATTCTAGAGTTTCATTATGTTACAGCTGCTGTACCAATGATATCACAACAATAAAGTCACGTATTAATTGTTTGCTGTGACAGTCAGCAATATTCCAGCTGTACAGCAACAGTCTGTATATGAGTGAGTGAGTGAGTTTAGTTTTACACCATTCTCAGCAATATTCCAGCTATATGGCAGTGGTCTGCAAACAATCGAGTCTGGATCAGACAATCCACTGATCAACAGCATGAGCACTGATCTACGCAATTGAGATACAATGACATGTGTCAACCAAGTCAGCGAGCCTGACCACCCAATCCCGTTAGTCGCCTCTTACGACAAGCATGGGTTACTGAGGATCAATTCTAACTGGATTTTCATGGGTCCGTAAATTATCTAGAACAGACTAACTAGTGGTTGATATTAGGAAAACATCTTGAAGTAATACATGAAGTAATGACCTTGACAGTGGCTGTGTACATCCCTGGGGCCAGAGACAGGGGTTGTAGGATCAGAGTCTGCTTGTCCAACATGTCCCCATCTGTCCTCATTGGCTGCACCGTCATGCCGTCCCCATCCGTGAAGGACCACTTGTAAGTGACTTCCTCGCGAGGCGAACAGTTGATCTTCACTGCAGTTTCAATATGAACCCGATGCGAATGGAAAAATGTGAACTGAAAAACATATATCTCTCATGAAACAAAACATATCTTGGTAGAGAGGAAAACGTTTTGGCTCCAATAATATGTACATCGAATATATAATAGCAGAACCCGTGGACTTCTGAAAGTCCGAAATTCTTTCCGATTTCAACATGAAACACGAAGATGAACACATGATTCAACGCGATAATCCTCTTGAACAATTCAAAGTTCAATTTGGTTATCTGGTATGTGATCTGTAATTGTAAGACGTAATAGACAAATCAATATCTCTGACCCTGAAAGTATTCATTCTACTGGATCAATGTTTTTCAGATGAAAACAATCTCAAAAATGTTTTAGAATAGTAGTGCAATCAATACCCAATCATGTATTGACTGATCAAACAATTTTATATCAAGTACAACAGGCCACAAACCAATCTGGTTAAAAGCCATAATCATTTGCTCAGGAACCTTAAATGATGATTGATGAAGGACAGAAGGAACCGTTACCCTCTGGTCTTCCATAGCAATTTAAGCAACATCTTCTCACCTTATTGGCTGTGGTGCCTGGGATGGTGATTTCTGGAGGTTTACAAATCCATTCAAGGATAAACAGCTGAACAGTCACGGAATCTCCACTGATATCATTGACTGCTGTCAGATTGACTATAAACTCGCCCGTGCTGAAACATAAAACAGGGGATGCCCTTAGATTGACTTTAAACTCTGACATGGAGATGCAGTCAGATTGACTATAAACTCTGACATGGAGATGCAGTCAGATTGACTATAAACTCTGACATGGAGATGCAGTCAGATTGACTATAAACTCTGACATGGAGATGCAGTCAGATTGACTATAAACTCCCCCATGATGAAACATATGATAAGGTGATGCAGTTAGATTTACTATAACTACCCAGTTCTGAATCATATGAGGGGATGCAGTCAGATTGACTATAACTACCCAGTGCTGAATCATATGATAAGGAGATGCAGTCAGATTGACTATAAACTACCCAGTGCTGAATCATATCATAAGGAGATGCAGTCAAATTGACTATAAATGCTGATATGGAGATGCAGTCACCTCTCTGATGACACCTACCGACTGAAGCTGTGTACAGTTGTTTCATTGGTTCCTTGTACAACAGGTGAGCCGTCACCAAAGTCCCAGGTGAAGTTGAGATTGTCGCCACTCCAGAAGGTGGCAGTGAATCTGATTGGCTGGTGTACCAGACTCTCCCCTTCCACACGAATGTCAAGGCTCTTCAGTTTGGACATGACCATGATCTCCAGCGGTTTGGACACCGCTCTGCTGATGCAGTTGTTGGCTGCTACTGTCACTACATGTCTGGGGAAAGGGGAGGAGTGAGTGAGTGAGTGAGTTGGGTGTAAGGATTCAGTCCTAATAATAATAACAAGTGTTTGCCACTGATACGGCAATGTCTCCTGCCGCTAAAGATTGGAATATCTATATTTACTACTTTTAATTTTTTGGTCACATACAAGATGCCTGAAATGACTGGTGTCTGCATAATCCCCCAATGTAGACTGTCGACATAATTGAAAACATTGGGTGCAATGTTTTATGAGATATCGCGTTTAAATAAGTTTGAAAAGTGTACAAAATGTCGTGGTGACCTTGAAGATAAGGTCAAGGTCACCCGAATGAACTGATGTCTGCGTAATCCCCCAATGTAGGCTGTCCTGGGTAATCCCCCAATGTAGGCTGTCACCAAATTTGAAGACATCGGGTACAACAGTTCATGAGATATTGCGTTAACAAGAATCAGGACGTACGTACGTATGGACGCCGCTGAATACATCGTACAGTGTCCATTTATATAGCACCAAACTCCACATCAGTTATGCTCACTGCACTAACAATGTATAGCACAGCACATTATTACCCCGGATAACCCAAGCTGCCTGTTAGGCGCTAGAAGGTTAATAGTCACATGACCCATTCCATCGCGTACCCATGTTCATAGTATGTCAAGTTTGGTGTGTAAGGAAAGCCGTTAATTACAGGTAAGAAGTTCACTACTTTTGGTGAAACCCATTGGCTAGGGCTAGACAAACCATGAAATTATAACCTTAACCAGGATAATGATGGAATATGTAATCACTGGATCCTGTCATGACTATGGGACATAACTCTGCCCCTACAGAAGGAGATGCTGATTGTGTCTCTCAGTTCAGACACACACATGCCCAAGTGTGTGGTTTAACATGGCAGCTGGAGGTATCAACAGTGGGCTTCACATGTTGGGAATTGAACACAGGGTGCTGAGCGGATGCTTACTCCAATAGACTACCCAACCGTCCTTGCCATACCTCAACTAAAACTAACACCCTTTATTGTATAGAACTATGTTATTATTTGTGTTTACTTTTCTGGTGGACACCATCCATCCAATCAAGAAACCACGTCAATATCTACCACATGATCTAACCAATGAAACCATTCACTTAAAACAATTACTTACTTCCCAGGACTAGTGAAAGCAAATGAGATGTAGTTTTCTGACGACTGCACATATTCATCAAAAGTCCATTTGTAGAACTCAACAGTTCCTTTGATATTGGGCTCCGGGATGGCGACATATTCCAATCTCTCCATCGTGCCGACCACATCGCGTGATGCTGTTAAGTTCACCCCTGAAACCATTTACTTACAGTGTTCAAAATCTTTCATATATTCGAGACTTGCAACAACAGACATTTGTTTATTCAAAACGTTTAGCCAGTTTGATGACTGTGTCCATTCCTGCCTCCATGATAAGAAAACTCACCAATTACAGCTAATCTAGACATGCATAACCCATCGTGGGATATTTTAGGAAACCAAAGAACATGCTCTGTTATATTAGCTGTCAATCCTCAGCTCTACAAACACAATGGGAACATGGACTCAATCTCATGTGTGACAACACACTATCACACAACTGTTCATCTCATCTTCGCTGGTGTCACAATCACCTTGTACGGGAAGAAACCCACAGTATCATGTTCAATACAGTTGAGGGCATACTTTTTGTAATCCACAGTTTCAGACTGGTCCACAGTTTGGGACATTGACTGATTCTAATCCAAAATATCATAAAGTGTCTTCTCAAAACATATCATAACATAGCAGAATGTCCTCTCTAACTGTCATACAATCATGGAATTATCTTACTGCCTTCTTCTTTAGCAATCACTGTAAACAGACATTTTGCGAACCAACTAAAATGGGAAATTATTATAAATTGGCACAGCTTAATATTTCTCTTACATTTGTTTTAAGACATGCAATTTATTGTGCCAGGGCTGGCTTGGTTCTGTGTGTCTGTTGTGGTCCTAAACACAATACATTGCATCTAATCAATTGGAAACTTAACAGATACTCTACGTTGTATCTGCTTATTTTTCTAACAGAAATATACCAAATATTTTTTACTTTATTTTGTGATTCAGCTTTTCGATCTGGTTGGTTGGATACACAGCCGAGAAACTATACAGGGTGGTGCATTACTCAGTAAATAAGAAATGGTAAACGGTGAGACACGTAAATACATACATTTCCCACTAATTTCAGATCTAGAGTACAGAATTATGGAGGTTCAAGAATAGACAGTAGATTTGGTGATGGTGATTTTGACCAGTAAGCATTATGCACTGCAAGATACAAAAGCCCAAAATTGGAACTCATACCTTGTATTTCATTGACAATGTTCACATAAGCAAATCCTTCAATCTTGTCAACTCTGTTATAGGCTGTGACCTTGACAGACTTCCTGCCAATAGTCCGGTAGTTGTGGGTAATCCATTCACCTGCACAAAGAAACAATTTCATTTACATTTACATCAAAAAGCAGACAAATGTGAATGAATATCAATCACCATGGGCCACAGCCAAAAGCATGCCGAAGAAGACAAGTTAATTAAGGTGTCCATCGAAATGTTCATTTCATGCATTGTTTAATCCAGATAAGAGGCTAACATTATGCTGCTATTATTAGAAATGCAGGACACAAAAGTCTGAGGATGAAGGACTCTTTTAATTAGACATTGTTCTCAACGTGAACTTGCTCCATAATCTGGTTCGGTTTAGGCTTCAAGATAAAAAAGATGGAATATTTTTTCATTGAACCCAGTTCCACAAGCTATCTTAGCGCTAAGTTAATCATCAATCCAATGCTTTAACATAGAGTTCGTGTGAATACTGTGCTAAGATCAGTTTGTGGAAGGTACAGGTGCAATGGGCCACAATGGGACTGAGTGAGTGAGTTTAGTTTTACGCTGCACTCAGCAATATTCCACCTATATGACGTCGGTCTGTAAATAATCGAGTCTGGACCAGACAATCAAGTGATTAACAGAATGGGAATGAACTTGCGTGGCCTTAAAACTGTCGTTCACTTCAAGGAGAATTGTAATGTAACTCTTCCAGAATTGTACCCTTCCAGGAGAATTGTAATGTAACTCTTCCAGAATTGTACCCTTTCAGGAGAATTGTAATGTAACTCTTCCAGAATTGTACCCTTCCAGGAGAATTGTAATGCAACTCTTCCAGAATTGTACCCTTCCAGGAGAAAATGTTCCCTTTGTGGGGATTACGTACCTGTATCTATGAGCTCTGTTTCATCGTCCAGCTGCCAGTTGTAGGTGATGTTGGTGCCTGCGGGGACGCGGGCCACCAGGGTGATGTTCTCCCCAAACTTGAAGCAGTACTTCTTCTTGTCCAGCAGCATAGCCCTGTGCAGTGTCGGAGGTACTTGTACATAGAATGGCTTCAGGACAGCTGTGGCATTGCCCAGTGGGTTGATTGCCATCACAGACACATGATACACGCCAACTGAAACATCACACAATAACCATGAACTGAAACTTGACATAATAGGCACTACCCAAAATGTGTTAAGCCAATATCTATAAGGAAAGCAAAGACCCATTGAGTAATGTTAACAAGCAGGGATAAAAGGATCCACTGTGTAATGTTAACAAGTAGGGATAAAAGGATCCACTGTGTAATGTTAACAAGTAGGGATAAAAGGATCCACTGTGTAATGTCAACAAGCAGGGATAAAAGGATCCACTGTGTAATGTCAACAAGTAGGGATAAAAGGATCCATTGTGTCATGTCAACAAGCAGGGATAAAAGGATCCACTGTGTAATGTCAACAAGCAGGGATAAAAGGATCCACTGTGTAATGTCAACAAGCAGGGATAAAAGGATCCACTGTGTAATGTCAACAAGCATAAAAGGATAAAAGGATCCACTGTGTAATGTCATGTCAACAGAGATATAAAGGATCCATTGTGTACTGTGTAATGTCAACAAAGCAGGGATAAAAAGGATCCACTGTGTAATGTCAACAAGCAGGGATAAAATGATCCACTGTGTAATGTCAACAAGCATCCATTGTGTATCACAAGGATCCATTGTGTCATGTCAACAAGTAGGGATAAAAGGATCCATTGTGTAATGTTAACAAGTAGGGATAAAAGGATCCATTGTGTCATGTTAACAAGCAGGATAAAAGGTGTAATGTCAACAAGCAGGGATTAAAGGATCCATTGTGTAATGTCAACAAGCAGGGATAAAAAGGATCCATTGTGTAATGTCAACAAGCAGGGATAAAAGGATCCATTGTGTAATGTCAACAAGCAGGGATAAAAGGATCCATTGTGTCATGTTAACAAGCAGGGATAAAAGGATCCATTGTGTCATGTCAACAAGCAGGGATAAAAGGATCCACTGTGTCATGTCAACAAGCAGGGATAAAAGGATCCACTGTGTAATGTCAACAAGCAGGGATAAAAGGATCCACTCATTGTGTCCATTGTGTCATGTCAACAAGCAGGGATAAAAGGATAAAATGTTAACAAGCAGGATAAAAGGATCCACTGTTGTAATGTTAACAAACTGGGATAAAAGGATCCACTGTGTCATGTTGACAAGCAGGGATTAAAGGATCCATTGTGTAATGTCAACAAGCAGGGATAAAAGGATCCATTGTGTAATGTCAACAAGCAGGGATAAAAGGATCCATTGTGTAATGTCAACAAGCAGGGATAAAAGGATCCATTGTGTCATGTTAACAAGCAGGGATAAAAGGATCCATTGTGTAATGTCAACAAGCAGGGATAAAAGGATCCATTGTGTCATGTTAACGAGTAGGGATAAAAGGATCCATTGTGTCATGTATCATATTGCAACAGGAATGGTAGAAAGAACAAGTGTAATAAACTTCCTATATTTCCACAGCTACCTGCTGCCTACTGTTTCAACATGAAACAATTACAGCCTGAATGTGGTCATATATTTTAATTAAACATACATATCTACAGTTTCACAACACAATAATGTGAAAACACATTCTTCCAACCAGCTGCCGTGACAACGCTGCCAGGAGGTGGCAGTGAATGGCTCATGTTGAGGGCTGTAACAGTTCACACCTAGCTTGCATCTCATTCATGACATTGAGCTCACTGTGCCACATGCACTCTTCAAGGACACACTGGCATCCACACAACTAAGTACTAGTTTCCTAGAGCTATACTTTACATTTATTGATATATGATCTTCTGCTATATATAAGGATAAAGAAATGAATGTAACTGGTGTTGAGATGAATACTTTTAATACATATGGGGTGAGCAGCTAATTGTTTTCAGAATGAAAAGAATAGTAATAGCTTTTATATGCCCTGGTTGTTTTGTAAAGTTGAACACCCATTCTTCCAAAATGCAAACATTTCCACACTTGCTATTGATTTAAAAATGTCAATTCAGAAAAAAATGTTATCTACACAAAAACATACTCACTGCAACTCAAAGTGCAAAAAATGTAAAAAAAATAACAATGTAATGGAAATGAAAAATTCCTAACCTAAAATTAAGACACATATTAGGGGCAGGGAGAATTTGCTGAGAGGCAGGTCATGAAAAACAAAAAAGTATTTGAACAGGCCTAACCATACAGCACCTGATGCCGTGAACCTGGTACATGGCATTCACACAATAGCCATACCAGAAACCATGAATCACCCCTACACATGCAACGCCAGTCATAAAGGTAATAACAAATTACATTTTTTCATCCATAAAAGCAATTCCCCTACTGTGAGAATGGGCCTAACCACCAGTGGAATGATATCAGCCAGGTCTATGTTGACCCCCAAGGGTGGCTGTGGTCACAACAGGGCATGTAAAGTGGATTGCCTGTTCACAACTTTCTTTGATACCTAGCCAGTAATATCTATGTTGTATGTAATTTTAAGAGACGACACTTGGTTGCAGGTTGAGCTCTAGTTGCACCATAATGGCTGAAAGTGTTTTTATTGCAGGCTATATGATATTGTTTACGGCTGGCTGTCACCCTATGGCTTCTATTGTAGCAGAAGAAGAACTACAGGAATGGGTTTAACAGTCCACATGTTGTAACCTGTGGGAAACCTGGGTTTCAGACAGGCCAACGCCTTTACCATGAGGCCATTCATCGGCAACTATACAGGCCATTGCATCTGGATACAGTACAATTCTTGTTTCAGAGGATATAGTGTGCCAGAGTGAGTGAGTGAGTGAGTTATGTTTTACACCGCTTTTAGCAATATTACAGTGAGGGACACCAGATATGGGCTTCACACATTGTACCCATGTGGGGAATCAAACCCGGGTTTTGGGCATGATGAGAGGACACTTTAACCACTAGGCTACCCCATGTGCCCCTGTGCCAGAGTAAGTATGAATGGTTTTACCACAGGTTAAGCATCAGTTATAGGGCTGCAACGAATCCTCTGAGAGGAGAATATGATACATATCATAAATACTCGGTCATGAATATGAATGTTAGCATACAGTAACAAGTATGCAGTTGATGTAATATTCACTATATATCTTTTTATAAAATTAATAATTTTCAGTTCTAGTGATCATGAATAACAAATTAAATTCATGAAAGGTTATGGTTCGATTCACTGAACATGCCATTGAATCGTAACAGCCCTATACAACACTCCAGCCATATCATTGTAAGGGAACACCAGAAGTTGACTGTACAGATTTAACTGCTAAATACATGTCCATATGGTTTTCATGCTTGAGTACCCATGAAGATCCAGGTTAGAATTGATCTTCAGTTACCCATGCTTGTCATATGAGGTGACTAATGGGATCGGGTGATCAGGTTCACTGACTTGGTTGACACGTGTCATCGTATCCCAAATGTGTAGATCGATGGTCATGCTGTTGATCACTGGATTATCTGGTCCAGACTCAATTTTTAACAGACCACCACCATATACCTGGAATATTGCTGAGTGTGGCGTAAACTAAACTCACTCACTCCATGCTTGAGACTCACTCACTCCATGCCACCATCAGTGCACTGATTATTACGGATAGACAACGTTTCTTCCTCTACGTCTCAACCAAACAATCCCCTGATTGTTGAATCCTGGTGGAAAGTCTTACCTGCTGTGAATGTGTGTGAAGCAACGCAGGTGATGTAGTTGAGGATGTTCATGGTGCCGTTCTTCTGCGCAGTACGGCCATCTCCAAAGTCAAACAGACAGACCACGTCAGATCCCTCTTCAATACTGCAGGGAAACAGACATCCATTATTCACAACACACATTAATCTGATTAATAACTTTCAAGATTTTAACGAAAATTCATACTTGTTCAGTTCATTAATGGTGAAATATAGCTCATCATACTTTGTGACGTTATCTCTTGGCATTTCATTCATCAAATTATGACCTATGTTTTTCATATTTCAATGATGTAAATTCTGTCCTTCAGTATGTTTTCACAACATCTTCATCACCAACAGATCTCAAGAAACAATCTGCTCCAGCATTAACAAAACCAAGGACAATATTATCAAAGAAATGGGAGAGTATGCTGAAATTTGATTGATCAAACTGGATCCCAATACCACAAATCTTGACTTTTCACTGCACAGAAAACATTTTCAAGTTCAAAGAATCATGTCCAATGTTGAAAAGTGTGTCATTTTGCAAATTTGGTAGGTTCAGATGACATGGCATCCCATATTGTCATCCCTTGTAGCATGTCTGCCTACCAGCTGTACAGTACATGTAGAAAGATAGTGCCTCATAGTATTACTGGTAACATCTGTATTTAAAATGTTGGCCCAAAATGAAATTTCTTGTCACTGAATTCTCAATAATACTCACAGATGAGCACACAGATAATGCTTATCTTCAACTAAAAAACTACTTACGTCGCTGTGATTTCTATCTTCTGATCAACAGCCGCTGCGGCCATATCTGCACGTAGATTGACACTGGTGATCTTCTGTACTGCATGGAATATTTTGGGTAAAGTTGCTTCAACTGGTTCGGTGTAGAGGGCGCTGGTGATAATGACGCTCACACGGTACTTGTTGGGCACGATGAAGATGTAGGTGACGTTACTGGTGTTGGCTTCACTGCAAGAAAGTCAAAGTCCACTGTGAACATTGTTTACAATACAGTGCACATTGAACTTGTTTACCTGGTCAGTCACTAAAAGACAGCTGCATGAGCAAAAAGATTATTTCTATGTTATCCAAATCTGCCAAAATCTGAAAGAATATCTATCAAGGAAACTATCCGAGACTCACAAGACACCACAGCTTCATATCAGAGATGTCACGTACACTGTCTCTCTCACTGTCAACTATCCACAGCTTCATATCAGAGATGTCACGTACACTGTCTCTCTCACTGTCAACTATCCACAGCTTCATATCAGATATGTCACATACACTGTCTCTCCCACTGTCAACTATCCACAGCTTCATATCAGATATGTCACATACACTGTCTCTCCCACTGTCAACTATCCACAGCTTCATATCAGATATGTCACATACACTGTCTCTCTCACTGTCAACTATCCACAGCTTCATATCAGATATGTCACATACACTGTCTCTCTCACTGACAACTATCCACAGATTTTCAGAATGTCACTCACCCATGAGCCAATCACAGCCAATCAAAATGTGTCTTTACACAATATTTCAGAACAGACCTACATTCAAAATTGCCATGGAGCTAGTGTGAGTGAAGCCTTGTTATATCTCACAGAATGAGAGTTTGAACGGAGCAAGAAGCATGTCCATTCATATACAAACAGGTGTCCTCAGTGGCATGTGACTACGCAAGTCCGGCTGACCCAGCTGGTACATCCACAATGTAATTACTTTAATTTGATTGGAAACCTATATTTAGCATTACAACATGCAAACCAGATTCTAGATGAAGTAGTACATAGTGAATGGGCTCAGGCCCATTGTGTACAGACATTTTCCAGAACATTTGACTGACATAGGCCACAAAAGAATCTGAACAAAGTTAACACCTAACAAGGATATTTCGACATAAGTTATGAGCCAACCCAACCCCAACAAGGATATATTGATGAAAGTTATGAGCAACCCCAAAAGGATATGTCAATATACGTAACAAGACAACCCCACCAATGACATACTGAGACAAGTGAGGGATAACACCCAACAAGGATATACTGACATAACTGCCCCAGCAAGGATATATTGACATAATTCCCTCCCCAACAAGGATATATTGACATAATTCCCCCAACAAGGATATATTGACATAACCCCAGCAAGGATATATTTACATAATTCCCTCCCCAACAAGGATATATTGACATAATTCCCTCCCCTCAACAAGGATATATTGACATAACTGCCCCAGCAAGGATATATTGATATAATTCCCCCAACAAGGATATATTGACATTACCCCCTCAAACAAGGATATATTGACATAACTGCCCCAGCAAGGATATATTGATATAATTCCCCCAACAAGGATATATTGACATTACCCCCTCAAACAAGGATATATTGACATAATCCCTCCCCAACAAGGATATACGTATTGACATAAGTTATCAGACAACCGCAACAAGGATATATTGACATAACCCCCACACCCCCACAAGGATATATTGACATAACCCCCAAAACAAGGATATACTAACATAAGTTATCAGACAACCTCAGCAAGATTATACCGAAATTGTTCAGCAAAAACACCCAGCAATGACAACTTGATGTTTATCTGTCCTAAAGAAGCCTATATATGCCCCAACTGTTGTTCACATAACACACACACAGATAGAGCACTCCGTCAGATGCTGTCAGAGACAGACGCACTTGATGGTCTGGAAGCTGCTCATTACATAACCCTGTCTGGTTCCGGACAACATTAATTACAGGCTGGAATAGTACTGGTTCAGCAACACATACACCAACATTCGCAATGAGGACATACCTGTAGACTTCCGATGTGATGTAGTATTCGATGGGATTGGAGTTGACATCGGTCAGTTCCCACTTGAAGGTCAGGTCCCGGCCACTGGCCACTGTGACGGAAACGGTCACCACCTCCCCTACTGGAACCAGGGTGTCCGAGTTGGTCAGCATGTTGATTCCTGATATTGGCTCATCAACAAGAGCCTTGGACACTTGACCCACAGCTGAGAACAGATTGGCGACGGTGACATTGACGTCATAGACCCCTGTGTCGGAGTATATGTGGGACATCACCATGTGATATACAGGAGGAATGCCTTTCTCTTCATGGGCCTTCTGCACCGTTGCCACACCGCCCTTGTGCGACTGTGAAGATGACGTTGTTACTGTCCCATCCCCAAAGTGGCATGTGACAGAGAAGTTCATGCCGCCATTGACGATGATGGAGATGTTGGTGAGGGTGCCAAGTGGGGTTGCAGGGATATCAAGTTGTATTGACAGTATAGGGTACTGGACGGTCAGGTTCAAGGAGGCTTGCACCATGCTGACATCATTCTCAGCCTGGACCTTGAGTCGCTTGATTCCAGCTCTCGTGAAGGTGTTGAGAGTCTGCAATGAAGGGAATTAAATGTTGTTCATGTCATTCCAGGGCCCTGCTATAGTCCGTTTGACTTCATTTGAGACCGATGAATTGTTCACTAACACAAATTCTAATAAATGCAACAAAATCAAACTTTGCACAGTCACATGATATCGATAGACAAACTCTGATGATTTGTCTCATAATTTTGGACACCCGAATAAAAACGTTGTTTAACAAATGATCTAAGACTATCACAACTAGGCTATTGTAAGGAGGTTACAAGTGTTGTAGCACTGGGACCGTCATATGGAATGAGGCGCTAGTAGTATGTCAGACCAGCAAGGCTGTACAGAAGTTGTAATTGTCACAAATAGTGGAACCAGAAAAACTGGATGTTTATTTAGGTAATAAAGGTAACCATGGTTACCTTACCCCCCCTCATCAGTTTATCATTCTCTTCACCTGTACTATATATGTCACAGTGGGGGCAATGGACAAACAGGTTTCAAACCTGCTGGAAAATGTATGCCAAAGGATTTACAGCACTACTCTGTCTACAAATGATATACATCTCAAAACCCATATACCAGTCTCTCACATACCCTCACATGCATGAACTATACTTTGTCAAAACTGAATTTAGAACAAGACAGACTGAAAATGAAAACTGGTGGCAATTATAATGGGTAGCCATGTCCTTTGCCAAAAGCCTGATCAGTTTTGGTTTCAATGTAAGGGCTGTGGAAATAGAGAAGGAGTTATCAAGGAATCTGAGGATGTGTGGATGTGTTTCTCCTGAAGCATGAACGTAATCTTCACAGTGTTCTTCCGAGTCAAAAGAAGGAAGCACACCAGATGATGATTGCATTCATCTGCAGGTGCTTGTGGACAATGTAACGATTTCAAATGTTGTAGTTTGTCATCAATTTCGTATAATCTTTCTATATTATCCATTAGGCCAGAACAATTTTATTTCTTGTTTTACGGATCCGCCTGTCGTATATTTGAGAGAAATAGGAAAAAAATTTAAAGAAATTCCCTGCTCCCGCCCCCTGTGTTTATTGGACAAAAATGTAAACATACAAGAAATTTTGTTTTTAGATTGTTTTTTTTTACCCATATACACTTCATAAATTGCCAAAAGTAAAATACTTTGAGTATTTAGAAGGAATATTACTTTGACTGGTGATTTTATTTTTATTTTTGTTCACTCTTGCCTTTAGGTTTTCTGAGGACAAAAATCCGTAAAACAAGAAATAAAATTGGTCTGGCCTTATATGAAAATGCATAGATCCAACACATGCAGTACATACCATGCAGTACAGGATCACTTTTCAAATACATTTATTACATTTCACTACATTTCTGCTTGAAATACTTGAAAAATAACAAAACAGATATTAAATAATGATCAATTGTGGTTGCAATAAGGTGATAAAATTGTTGGGACTGAAATAATTTTTTAAATGGTATGTATTGCTTTTAAAATTTGGAATTATCAAGGTGTAATATTTCATCATTATTAATCATGTCACTTACATAGGTAGATTTGGTGGTTCTGTTGGCGGCGATGTTGTTGATGGACCAGGTGTAGAGGGTGTGGGATCCGCCATCTGGGACGGCTCTCCAGGTGTACAACCTGTCATCACTGCAACAAATCAAACCAAGGTAATCCCATTATGAATACAAATATAAAAGAAACCCCCTCAAATCTGACCGTGGCAATAAAACCAGTGATTGCTTCAAATTGTGACTACTCACTGTCAAAAGAACAACAAGCTGCTCGAGAATGTGCACCATCTAACCAATCAAGCTGTCACGTTTCCAACATCAATCATGTGACCAAATCTAAATTACACAAATGATTCATCAAATAATACTAACAACACATTCACAAGACAAATTCCACTCTTCCACTCATCATCCGATGGTAAAAAACTCTTCCAAAAGATACATCCATCTGGCGAAAGTCAAAAGAAAAACACAACTTGCCTGAACAATCATTAATGTAGGACGTAACCATGCTAACGAATTGTCCAAACACCAACATGTATGACAACAGTTACATATTTACCAGAATATCCTGACTTACTCCCCTGGCAATCGCTATGAGATAACAAATCTTATAGAGACATCCCGCCTGGAGTAGTTCAACATTTCCCCACCAGGTGGAGCCAGCTAACACAGACATAACACAAACATGCAACTTCCTTCAGGCGTGAGTTCCGAATAACTCCTTCTGTCAAATCAACCAAGAAGCGCTCTAAGCAACACGGTTCCTATGTCCAATACTTCTCCATAATTAAGCCTTGTGTACAATTTGGTAACAGACCACAAGTCAAACACTGTGATTGGAACTACCTTGTAATTTCTAATGCATGTACGTAAAATCAGGTTAGAGAAGCTTCGTCGTGCTCGATGTTCAGAAGTTACTTGACCTAATAACATCTATTGCTAACAAGATGCTAAAATTAAGTCTTTCCTCGAGGAAGATAAATGATTTTACAAGAATACTGCTCCAGGCTACAGGGCAGTAGTTGGGGGTATGTGGGAAAGATAGATCAATTAACATGCATGTCTGGTTAAGAGCCATTTCAGACAGGTGGGAAGGATTGCTTTACAAACTCGGCTGGCTTTCACGTTACACACAAGTTTCAGGCAATCAGTTGACATGTAAAATATTTTGAAATGGCAGCGTTAATTTCAGCAGTCAAGTAGCATTGATTTTACCAGGAACATCATAGGTCTTCCAGGATCCCTTTTGTCTGTTACAACATCTTCTTGACCCAAAAACAGTTTGAACCAAATCTCCTTATTTCAGATAGAAAAATAGCCATAATGAATACGACCATCAGAATGAAAGTTTGGACAATGTTTGTGAATGTAACAACCTCGAGTACCATTGGACAGACAAACAGACTAATCATTTTGTTTGGAATGTCCGCATGGTTAATATTACATCTTTGTTTGACATGGAATGCTGGAAATGACAAAAAAGAAAGAAAAGAAAACAATATCTGATCATTCCAACTAACAATTGTTATATCAGGCTCACAGAGGTGCATTTATCAAATCACAATCACTTGTATTGCTATGAATGTCCCTACTGGGAGTACTGTGATGGAATATTTTCTCAAATTGTAGAGAAATAAGGAGAAATTACATTCACCTTCAGCTAAATCAAAACTGCATTAATCACAAGTTGATCGAACTATTAATATTTTTTAGCCTTGAACTTGTACACTTTAGCAAATTTCTCCAGAGATTTATCAAAGCAATTTCAAGCAAGATAATTTTGAATATACTAAATCTGGCATTAAATGATGTTTGAATTGTTATTATTGCAGTTCATCTGAACCAGACACATACCCACAATGCAACACAGGAAGTATACACGACAGTGAGGTGCTCTACTTCCACAGTGAATGTGCTTCAAGGACTAAAGCTACCTCCTCAGCAAAGCCACATCTCTTGAAATAACAAAACATGGAAGCTATTTCACATTCCATCTTGTTTCTGGAACCTTACACTTTTTGAAGATGAGGACTGCCTCGAAACTCTTAAGATGTACAGTAGCAGTAAAAATACACAACGTAAGTGGTTCTTCATGGGTTTTCCCATGAGACCATTTCAGTTTAGTCCATATCACCAGTCCCAACACAACTTCTCAGTCTAAACTCACTTTAAAATATATCAGTTGCTGTAAGAAGAAATTTCTAAAGTCTAACAGTGTAAATGAGACAAATGATCAAAATGCCATGGAAGAACATTGCTAGAATAAAACATGTCAAAACGTCCATAAATCACTGTTGGAAAGGTCTGAAACCACACCTCTACTGTTACACCATTAAAAATGTCATAACATATTTGTATTTGAATTGGACGCTTCAGGATGATTCATAAAATGAATATCAGTACTCTCCAAAGAACCATTTTATAAGCAGCATAAACATGTGAAATGTGATTGTTACCTAAATGTGATTGCCTGAAACTTGTATAAAAAACTCATGTTGACCATCAAGGTAATTAATAGAAAATAAACCTGAAACATAACAGCATCATGCTGCACATAGAAAATGTCCACCAAGCCACATCATTCCTTACTTTCTCTGATGGTAAATCCTGAAAGTTTCGTGTCCACCGAGACAGGAACACTAACCGTGTCCAGTGAGACAGGAACACTAACCGTGTCCAGCGAGACAGGAACACTAACCGTGTCCATGTTTATCCACCTGATATTAGTACCACCCAGCTATTATCTTCCAACAGTCATAAGGTGCCCCAGTCCAAATGAATAGTTCTTCAGCACTGAACACTAAATCCACTAATATTCCTCACATGGAAAGTAATATTCCAAGGTCTGGAAAATGTGGCTAGCTCGACCAGGCTGCACAGAACAATGAGTAGTAAGTGCAAAGCTAAGACATGTTCTAACCAATGGTGGCCTAGCCAGGACTTCCTAATAAGGAACAAGTTGTGCTGTGTTTTTGTCCCAACTGGTTCAAGATGTATACCAAATGGGTCTGATTTTAGTTTGCATTATGCCCCCATCACCCTGGCTGCAAGACGGCCCTGTTATGCGAGACAATGGAATCAATTTCACCACCAACGGAAGAGGAAACGGTGTGAGGGTCAGGAGAATATGTGAGTGTCATTTTTCTGGGGACATTGCCAACTGTTCCTGATACAGCAGTAAAACAGGGTGACGTCAGTTCACAAGATTGTTCACAGCTTTCGACCCAATCGACATCACATTTTGTATTTGCTAAGAATTTGCTCCCTTTCAAAATAAATTCCCTTCCGAAGTTTGGCGGCACACATCGCCCCCGATGTTAGCTTCAAGTCTGTTTTGACCTCACAGCAAGGAGAGGTTCACTTCCTGTTCGACAGAACTGACTGTTTTCACAATAAACATGGTATGCCTTACGGGTGCGTGGAGGCCGCCTTTACAGTTTTGGCACCCAGTACTTTCCCTCCGCATCATCTGAGTGTGAAGCGAGTGTTTAGACAAGAAGCTTGCGAGCCCCAACATGTAGATCTGGTCTCGCCACAAGGCCCTGTATATTACCATCACCTGTGAACGAGTTGAGCAAGTCCCAATGGGCTTATTGAAACTCATCAATTACTGAGTTCAATAGAACAAGCCTGCAGGTCCTATCTCCATCACAACAGAGCTGAACATGGATATGAGGCATCACACGTATCCTGCAACAACTTGCCCATCGACTCTCTTCAAACTACCCCCAAGTTTGTTAATGACTGTCTTACTACCAGATCTACAAAAAATGTAAAATAATGAACAAGCAAACAGTTCCCCGTCAGGTCTGGTTCCCTGGATACCTTCACAGTCACTTAAGATTTTTTCACTCGCCATCGTAAATTGTTTAAAAGGTACTTTCACAAGGGGAGTAAGCCTCGACTTTAAGACATTAGAACAGAGACGTAGCACTCCTGATCTATTCAAACTGACAGGTCCCATTTACACAATAAAACGCATCCATCCATGTGACGATGAAGTGTGCCTTGAATTTCCTATAGCATTTAACTGTAATCACCTGTGGGGGGACACGGCAGTGACAGCAGCAACTCCTGCAACTAGTCCCTACAGATTCCACATTCAGAAAGTCAGATTAAAATAGAATTGGGCTGTAGCTAATTGAAGCTGCACTTGCCGTTGTCCCAGATAAAACGGTATCAAGTGTTTACAGGCGCCATATGGCACCAACTGCTTCAAGAACACACTTTCTAGCACCGAAATGTCACTGACATTCACATTACCACTGACATTCAAATGTCTCTACAATGTCGGTGGTAAATTTCAAGTTTCAATACCAGAACTTTATGTGAAGCCCAAAATGCAATTAGTTGCACTGCTCAAGAATTTTATGAGGAGGATATTGAAAAATAAATTATCCACCATACCAATGGTCTGTGTTCGCAGAACTCTTTAAGTGTCCTTAGAATAATAATACATCTCAATGACATTCATACACTAAACTGCTCACAATGTCTATTTGAATTTGCATATGAGAGTAATGGATTCATTTCCTGTAATGAAACGAGTATGCATGGAGAAGGCCTTATGTCCTTCAGTTCTGAATAATTCACAAGTTTATGAATTGGATATATCAGCAAATAATGATTTGACCAAAACAAAGGTTCTTGATTCATTAACACTGGGAAGCCAAATCAATGAAAGGTGTGAAAACAATGCAAAAACAGACTCTCAGACACTGATCAAATAAACACATCTCTGATGCTAACCACTTCCACGGGTGAAATGTACCAATAGCTGGTGTCTATTGCCTTGGATGCCAATTAGAAGTCTCTGAAGCAAGAATCATGACAGATCTCAGATGTTCAAGTTTGTATAAAAACATCAGGACCAATTCTCAGATGGGGAATTTCTAGAAAAACAAAATGGCCGCCCAGTTGGCCAATTTGACGTCTGCTTGTTGGGGTATCTGCTGCAATGCCAGTAATTTTGTGTAGATCACTTACACGACCTACAAGGGTTGTTTAGATGAAGGATTACAGTTACAATGCACAAATATCAGTGGGGAAACAGTCCCCGTGTATCTGATCGAGAGCCAGAGATAACAAGAATGTATATCTGACGGTGGTATGCTTAAACACTGGAAGAAACATATAGATATTTTATTCACAGATAAATTTGTAAAAACCACACTGTGATCAAACTAATGGGTCAATTAATTTGTACAATTTACAGTGACAAATTCAAAACTTCTATTTCCATGAATCAGAATAAATAATCTGAAAAGTTTAATTTGAGACCATAAGTGAAATGAATAGGATAGAACTTTCAGTGTATAGCTGAAGTTTTTCATGAAGATTCTTTATTCAATCAAGATGTAAATTTGTCGATCAGACATATCACGAACTGCATCTGTATGATCTAACTGATCTAATCAAGACTCAGTTCACAGAGGCCACGTAGAAACTTTCCCCATTTCGTAAATTATTCAACCTTCAAATCAATGCTTGTTACACTGTACAGTGATCTCAAATACAATGATTCTACAGACCAGTTGACTGACTCTTGCACTCTGTAACTGACAGTTTCCAAAACATGAAACATTTCATTTCTCAATCACAAAACTGCTTTTGATAGACTTGCAGTAAATTGAGTGAAGATGAAGGATAAATCACTCCTTCAAAGAAAAGCAGTTCATTACCAGCCAAACTTTCAAAAGAAAAATTCAATATCTGATTTTGAAATTATTTTGCCCTTCCTCAATTTGGCTATAAAATCCACTAATGTATCGATGGGGGTCAATGTACTTGTGATGATAAAAAGGCCAGCTTCATAATGAAAAACACAACTTTGGTCACTTTTCAATCATAATTATCAATCAAATCAATCAGCAGGTCTAACAATAGACGCGAGATGAAAATGAGTAGTTCCTACTTGGTGGACGTTAGTTTCAATCAATCATTGCTAACGAGAATAATCATCCAGCAATCTTCCTCTCTTTGTACAAGGGAGGCAAAAACATGCAACAATATCCGAACCAGTGTCCATAAACTATACGCACATGGCCAGGATCCTCCTGTAAAACCTAATAACGACTGCAGTAATCGTCCCGTCACCAGCCCCATCAGTGGCCCTTATCAAAGCATATTAGGTTATTTCCAGCAGAACATGCACTAAGCAGTCTTAATTTGTAATGAACGAAGACCCGAGCAACCACCTGATCCCTCCACATGTTGTATGTATTGTATCCATTTATTTGCTGTTAATATCACGAAGACCGCATGAAATGGACGCATGTACATTTCATTTATTTGCTGTTAATATCACAGTCTGTGGAAGACTACAGATACTGAATGGAATAAATCAAAACATTTTTATAAAAATCAGTGGCTTCTATGCTGTATACTTGTATCCCACTCCATCTTATACTGTCTCTGTTTCCAAATTAATTACTGCATGAAATGGACGCATGTACATTTCATTTATTTGCTGTTAATATCACAGTCTGTGGAAGACTACAGATACTGAATGGAATAAATCAAAACATTTTCATAAAAATCAGTGGCTTTCAATGTTGGAGTTTAATGAGAATTTGAACTGAATAGCCTTGTCAGTTTGTCAGTTACAATGAAAATCATTTTAACAAAATTGTTTCAAACCATTAACATAACTCTTTCAAATGACAAAACATAAAACCAGAATGGTTCCATTTGAACCAAATAGCATCACACTGATGAACCTTCAAGGAATCATGACTTATCTAGAGGCACAGGGTTCCTTAAGTTTAAACATCCACAGGTCCCACGTCTGATGCATTTTTAATTCCTTAAAATTAATTTTGGAATAATTCATTGCAAGATTGACATGAGAGAGACTTCTTCATGTGGGTTGTCTCAAGTCAGATTACAGGAACTGCATGCAACATTTGTAATTACGACGATGTTCTCAATAAACCATGATCAGGGAACACAATGCTACAATCGATTACCAAATGTTACTAGTTATTTCAGCCTACAGCTTAATTGAGAGTAATGTGGACTGAAATAGATGGCAATGCTTACCCAGGTATTGATATTGTTTTAATTTCGTCATGTGCGGAATCAGGATACAAAATAGACAACCACTTATATCCAGGCCTACACGGTCCTGATTGTAGGACCAACTTACAACTTGACAGAGCAAATTGGAAATATTACACACATAGCAAACTAATAAATGATAATATAAAAATCCACATATTTTATGATGGTTAAATTAATAAATTTTCACAATAAACTAAAACAGTTAACAGTCCCAAACAATCAAACTTGTATTTTATTGTCCTCAATATTCATTCCTATATTAAAAATCACAAATTAAAAATTACAACAATAATATATTTAGGTTATAAATTTCCAAATGCCTACACATATGAAATATGAATATGAAAATAAAATGTACCAAACTTATTTAAGATATAAACCCAACAGAATATTTCACAAGCCATTGCTGTTCCAACACTGCAATCTGACTGACCTTTAGAAAGCATGGATTCCTGGTAACGGCCTGGTCTGGTAATATTATTCCATCAGACAGAATGCCACCAATAGCATGAGATGGCCTTAGTCCATATCTCAAGTGAAATATGCTCCTGTACCTCAGTGAGGAACAACTAAATGACATTACACCCTAATCATATGAAACTTGATATAAACCAATGCATGCAACTTACTTTTCGATTTTGATTGCCGAGGGTCCTTCAATTCGCACTGCTCTGATTGGCTTCTGTGCTGTAATGTACGACTGTAATTTGGTCTCGGTGCCATTTCCATATATGGTCACGGACACCTTGTAAACACCTGGTTCAGAGAAAGCGTGCTCCCAGCTGTGGAGAAAACAAACAGGGGTGTCAGTGGGGTTCTGTATAAGCCTCTATCTGGTCCAATCCACGCCCAATAATGCCACTCCAATACAATGCCAGCTTCCACAACACCCCCAAAGTCAAGAAACCATTGTCTTGCTTCCTACAGTAACAGGACTGGATCCCAACTGGTACTCCAAGAAATGACTATACTGCTCACTTAAAATGTTCCTAAATGGAGGCCTATTTGTATTTGTATTCACTAGAACTATATAACTTACAGAAACAACCCTGCAGGAAGTAGAAGTAGATCTCCAGAAATGATTCAATCTTGCTATTTAAAGTGAAAACATATGCTGAACTCTTTATCGTAACTTTACATTTTAATTATGGTATAAACTTCAAGGTATTGAAATTCACTGTGAAATTTGTTTGATCAATAATTGTCTAACAAAAGATAAAAAGATTTTCTCACTTGGTTGTGAAGAATGTTTGAAAACGGTCAAGTTCAAGGTCTGAATGTCAAACAACTTTGTACAAATTAGTTATGAAACTACTTCTTTTCAGTAAATCCTTCCTCAAATAAACCTATTTCAAAATTCAAATTCACCTGTCAATATTAGTGACTTCAATACTGAAAAACACACATTGAAAACATCATTTTTCATATGAAAAACACATCATAATGCACATGAAAAAACACTGTAAAAGGCCTTAAATCATAGCTTTCCAATTAATACTCGCTTTGAGAATACAAATGGCACATCTAGTTGCAAGACAGGTGGTCTGAACTTTGACCCACAGGTGAGCATGATCCGTCCCAGGTAGATGTAAAGGTGTACATCAAACAACCCATTACTCAGGTATTAACATGGTCAACACATACATTACACGCCCGTAAGGTCACACACTACACACCTGTTGCTGGGCACCCTACTACGGTACAGGATGAAGGGATCTAGTTAGCAGTGTCGCCTACAGTTGATACTCCCGTGTCAGGGGAGTTGACTCACACAAGCATTCACAGTCTAAACCCTTGACAAATTGAGGATATTCACGATATCTTGCAGGATTTCAATTATATGTAATAATGTAAATGAGAAGCAGGTTTTTCCATCAGCAGCAGCTACAAAGGTAATAGTTAATACTTGTCATTCCCTTAGTTTATATAGAGGCACTATTTAAGTGCAATTCAAACACTTCTATTTTGCAAGTAGGTTATTTTGAGAGTACAGATATATTAAAACATTAAATAAATAGTTAGAAAAATCCAAGCACCTGAGGTGCAATGTTAAATCGAAAATAAATATCTGTTGTTTGCGATAACTAAGTACTATATTCTGTATAGTGTCTCAAATTGCCTGCATTTACATGTATTTAAAAACACTTATTTGTATTCGAAAGCTGTGTTCATTACAATATCTACACAGAGTATTGAACAGTTTTTCATAATATTTAACAAAATGAATTTGATATGATTAACGCTTGGTATACCAAATTCCCAATTCACGAAAGAACTTTTTGGATTGTTCTGTTACAGTCAGTAATATTAATGCGTCAGTCTGTAAATAATCGAGTCAGGACAGACAACCCAGTGATCAACAGCATGAGCATCGATCTGCGCAATTGGGAACCGATGACATGTGTCAACCAAGTCAGCAAGCCTGACCACCCAATCCTGTTAGTCACCTCTTACAACAAGCATGTGTTACTAAAGATCAATTCTAATCCGGATCTTCACGGGTCAAACCAGTGGTTGATATTATTAAACACGGTCCAAGACAGCTTCCATAAATAACACACAATCAATCCTGGCATGAAGCCTGACCACCTGAGGCAAGTTATTCATGTCTTACAAGCCACAGAGTTTGAAGGTTTATGAAAATAAAGCAAATAGCGTTACACTATTTGCACTGAATACAATAATGTGAATTAGCAAGTTCTGTACTCCGCAATGTCTTGTGTAATAACCCATGGGCATTCGGCTCCCACCATTAACCTGCTGTACAAAGTTTCCCTCGCTCCATTACAACACAACATGACAATCAGTAACAATTAATGCACAATTAAATCTACTGGACGCATTTTCCAATTTCCTGCAACTATATCCAGCTTCCTACTAAACTGGCTATCTTTGTCAGTGTTACAGACAGAATGTCTGAAAGTTTGGTTGCTCGTAAGTGTCACTATAAATATCAATAATGATAGCATGCTTTGTTTCATTCTGAATAATTTTCAAACAATACTATCACTTAACTACAGCTGGCTAACCCTGGGTGTCATTACACTTGCCTGTAAAAAGTCATTTCTCATATACACTGTATATCAACTTTACCATTACAATTCAATTTCTTAATTTTTCAGTTGATGGATTAACCACTTTGAGCCGAAACCTAAAATCAGAAATCAAAATAGAAATGATTTAATTGCTCTCAAACACTTTTTTGCTGCATACTAAACAATCACATATTTCAACTCAAAACCCAATCTCACAACAGCAAATAATGAAAGGCTGTGAGTCGGAAATTTTCAGTCATTATGGACAAAAAAACAATTGTTGTAATGCAATAACCTAGCCCTAAGGAATGTATGGGGGAAAGTACTATACAGGGAACACTCAGACAAGATGAGAGGCCTCCTGTTTTGCTGAATAAAATAAAGTCAATAGACACAAGAGACATAACCTCATTGGCTAGATGGCAGCAGTGAGATTGGTCCTTCAGATATATACACTGAAAATTGTCCATTAGCAGCATGTCATTATTCAGTGATGTCCACAATTATCAAAATATCCTTTCCCAGGAAACAGTCAGATTCGCCAGCTTATTGTTGGGACAAATGTCTGTTAATTATAATGTAGCTGCACTGATATTATTACTAGTAATTATTTGGGAAGAAGATCATTTGTCAATGATTAAAAGAGAATTAAATGGGTCCATCAAGTGAAGAAAATGTACTGTGTTCATTATTTGGAGAGAATGAACTGGATCCAGAAATGGGCTTCACACAATGTACCCATGTGGGGATTCGAACCCAGGTCTTCGGCGTGACAAGCCAACGCTTTAACCACTAGGCTACCCCACCGCCCCTTATTTGGAGAGAATGAACTGGATCCTTTATTTGGAGAGAATGAACTGGATCCTTTATTTGGAGAGAATGAACTGGATCCTTTATTTGGAGAGAATGAACTGGATCCTTTATTTGGAGAGAATGAACAGGATCCATTCCTTGGAAAGAATGAACTGGGTCCATATTTTTTAGAGAGAATGTACTGCATCCATTACTGAGAGAAAATTAACTGGTTCCATTAAGAAAGAAGGAAACATTAGTATTTGAACACAATGAGATAAGCCCATTGCAACTAAATGGCACTTGACACAAATTCAAACATGTAATCAGGACATGTACCCATGGCTTGCCTCAAGTTTGCCATTAGCTCCAGCAGATGGTTCTTTTATCACTTACATATTGAGGCAGAGGTGCCCCAACATACAGTTTCCCAGCAGTACAGGCTAATGTTTAACCTGGGCTACCCTTACAGCACCTGACAGGCCAGACATGCTATCACCTCTAACAACTGATCTCTCACCTGCAAGAAGGTCATTTTGAAGGCATAGACTGAGCCTAAATTTCAATTTGACTAATACCAGTATTGACATTTATCATTCTGTTCCACTTATAGACAAACTATTTAATAATCTGGGATTTTAATACTGAATCCTAAGTTATACCCAAAGAAAGAAATTAAACTTGCTTGAAAATTTTGTTTTGAATTGTTTTGCTTCTCCATTCATTGAAAAAAATGAATCCTGTCTCAAACAAAAATACCCCACCCAATATAAAATGATGGTTCCACTGATGTTACACAATAACATGACCTGAATGTTACCAGACTGGGTTTTTTATTTTACACAAACATTCAAAGTACAACTTAAATGTGTTTAAGTACTGAAAACATTAATTAGTTAAATATATACTTTTTTCATACTGAGTGTAGAAACCCTGTTTTGGATGAACATATATATTTGCACTCCAAAATAGCATGCAATAAATCGTGTGCATTCATATGCATTACAAATTCATCCACTTTTTTCCAGGAATCTGATACCAATAATGCCATACATAAATCACGCCACGTCCTAGATGATTATCTGGGATTAACTTCACTCACCTCGACTTTCTGAAATACTCCTCTACATCCCCATCAGAATAATTCACAACCAGTCTGCCGAGCCTGTCGTGCTGCTGAAACATACATAGATCACGTAACCATATTGATAATCAATATTAGGACAGGTAAAACACAGGTAATGCCAGTTTCATAATCATTGCCACTGGCTGTAACTATCTCACATAATAAATGTAAAATGATGATATGACACAAAGTATATTCCCATTCAGTGTTGATTCCAAATTATTTATGTATTCCATAATAAATTAACTCAGTTCTTCACCTAGATTACAGATGGATGGAATGCAAAAATATCATAGAAAATATTCCTTTAAATACCAAAAGTAATGATGAAACTATACATCACCCACTGATTCGATACAAATCTTGATTTCACAGTATCCAAGTTTTTCCAAAGTTCTTGCTTCAATTCCAAGCATTAAATGATTTAATCCACAAACTTATAGCCACCATGTCTCTCCTGGCATGAGTTTCAAAACCTGATATGCAAGAATTTTTGCTTTGACATGGCATGTGTGGAATTTCGTAGTGCACATGTACACTATCCCCACCGTACAGACTGCACGCAGTGCCGCATCCCATGCTATGGGTTGCCATTTGTATCACTACCTGAAGTATATCATAAGGCTCTAATATTGCACAAGAATTCTGTACAATGGTTTAAAGTATTGAAAGTATGTTTTGTAGTATATTAACACTTCTAAAGTGAAAACAGAAACTTGAATGTGTATGGAATTAGAGTTGTCTGCTCTTTTACAATCCTCTTTAGCTTTTGTGCCACCATATTATCTGAGACACTAAACTAGACACTGGGTACACTACAGGTGTTTCACAAACTTTTGATGACAAAAAATAATACTTGACTTGAAATTTACAGCAAAATATAATGCATTATAAAAAAGAGAAAATGCAAACAATTTTGTAAAAGAACATTAGAAATCCTCAGTACACAAGATATAAATTCCCAAACTAAACATTTATGACAAGGTTAAGAGTGCCCTGAGACTGTGATAGCTGGAGGGAAGTTTACTTACATGAAGAGAGAAATTCACCACTTCATATGTCTGCACAATGCCACAGTGTAGTACCCAAATCCCTGCAGGTGCCCTTTCATGAACTCTGACCTCTAGTTGCTCGGAAACAGAATCAACTGAAAAAACAAAGTGGAATAGGTCCCATCTCTTGTAAGTTGAAACAGACTTTGGTAAACAAGAAAGGCGAGCAATGCCCCCTTTCTGCCATCAGTTGAGGGTCTTTCAAGTTAAATATCTCTCAGTGCTCTGAACAATGGACTCCACCCAAAGATAGAATTACAAAGTTCAGATTTCTAACGTGAAAACGTACACCTCCGCCCACAATCGTGAGTCATCACTACTTAATCCAGTCACAAAAACACTGCACACATTCCGGGATGAGTGATCATTCATAGTACTACAATGATCCTAGATCCATATTAAAAAGGCATAATAATGAACTGGGAACAGGTTGCATTTACTGTTCTGTCTTTTTGTCATGTGACTCAATGTGTTGTACATGATGCACACTACAAATATTATTTCTTTACATGCTGTTTCAGAAAAATTAATTAAACATTTATGCTGCTAAAAACGTTTAAATGTTAAATTTTTCTGAAAAGAGGACATCAGTAGGACTTCCATTCTTATTTTGTTCTCAAACAGCAGTGATGCAGGAGTACTACTTCATATAATTCTCCCACCAACAATACCAACAAACACACCAAGGCACCAAGTGAGCTTGGCATCTTAATACAATGTCACTTGTCAAACGTTCTATTTCATGGATAATAGCAAAAGTGTCATCTGATGCAAGGAAATTGGAAAAATCTTCTTTTTTTTATTGGCAACAAAAACGACTGATATGTGGGATTTAAAGTGATATGCTGAAGCCTTGGAAACCTTCCTTAACTTAGCCTTGAAGATATACATTTTTGCCTTTCCCCCACCTATGTTCGTAAAAATAATTTTTAATTAATGAGGTAATTTATACATGAACCTTTTTCTAAATAACAAGATTCACTTTTTCTCGACCTATGTAGGATAAACAATATTTTTTAATTTATAGGAAGTAATATATTGACCGTGACTTTTTCTCCCACAAAGATAGAATAGAATAGAATAGAATAGAATAATACTTTAATGCCTTTTCAGGAATTTGTGTTACATCAGCAGAGCTACTGACACATTAGAGAGATACCAAACATATTTACATAAATTCTTTGATTTAGGCATCTTCACATTTGTTTAAGAGAGATATGGTACTTGGAATAAAGGATGTACGGGCTCTCTTAGTTTTCACAATTGGAACTTTGTATCTGCAGCCTGAAGGGAGAAGGTTGTATTCCGAATTTAAGTAGTGAGTACGGTCAGATATGATTTTGACAGCTTGATTCACGATTTGCCGCTCATATATTGATGATAACTTGAAGCAAAGCGAAGCATGGTTTCCATAAGCAGATAAAGCCCCCAAAGATGTGTGTATTATACAGAAGGAAATGTGTTAACATTAAAGTAAGAACAAATTACATCATTGATTTTGTTTTACAAAAATAACAGTAGTTTAATTTCTTATTCAATAATCTGGTCTCAAAGTTTTCAGCACATTTCTCATTTGAGTTGCTGTATTTTTTTTAAAGTATATTGCTGAATATTCTAAAACAGAAGGCAGAAAACTGAGATTCTGAACTTCCATGGACTCCGAAATGATGTAATGCCTTCCTACTTTACTGCATTAGATGCTTGAGCGAAGTGAAAACAAACTCATCATCGTTTCTTCCCCTACTCCGCATGTTTTTGGTACTTTTCCTAATCAATGACTTAAAGCATGTATTAGTGTTTTGCATAGGCTTGTCCTGATTTTGCAACTTTCTTATAAAAATCGACACAGAAGCGTTCACCATGAAACTGAATCCTATTCTAATTCATCACAGAAGAAAATGAATAAACACAAAAGAAAACCAAATAAATCAACAGCGCAGCCCATCAATGATAATGAAGCATGGCGCAGCAGTCTACCAATCAGACCCCTAACTACATCAGCCTTCAAGGTCGGCAAGAAAGGAGTCTTCCCCACCACACATTGCACAAGTCTCCTTATTCAAGCCTCATGAAATTCCACTGACCCGAAATTGGCAGATGTAGATTTTGGCTTGTAAGGTTTCAGTGGCAGAGACTATCTTCATTCATAATTCCTCTCCCCTCACAGGAAGAAGGGCTGAGCCAGGGAGATTGACTTTCAAGTTGTTTATTCAAAAAATACTTTTCCAGTCCAGAAAAGTCATGTGTGAAGTGGTTAGAATCTTCACGAGCTGTCAACTGTGTAGAGACATCAATGTTATCGCTGTGTTTTCCCAACACATTTCATCACAAATATGCACTATTGTGATTTGATGGCAGCTGACCGTATATGGGAGTAAATGTCCAGCTGAATCGCCTCCCTCTGTGGTGTAGATAGAAGCTGAGTCAGTATGACCTGCCTCCATGTCAAACATGACATGCATTCATTGGGATGGTTTCCACCGCTAGATGAAGGTTCCTTATTCACTGATGCTGAATGCTCTCATTTGTGTCATCAATTGAAGCGATCAGGGAGACTTGGGTTCAGGGAGAAAATGAGAATAAATAGGCTCACATACATTGGCCTTTAATTTCTGATGATTTGGTTCAGGGATTATTATTTTTATAAACATTAATGGTCTTGTTCCTATTTTCTCTTTTTATATGAATGCTCTGATAACAGTTCCATTCCCAAAAAAACTAAAAAGGGAGGGGGTGGGGGTAGAAAATGGATTAATGGATTATTACGGAAGCAGTGCACAAATTTTACCTGTGGTACAAAAGGGAAAGGGGGAGGAAGCAAGAGAGAGAGAGAGAGAGAGAGAGAGAGAGAGAGAGAGAGAGAGAGAGAGAGAGAGAGAGAGAGAGAGAGAGAGAGAGAGAGAGAGAGAGAGAGAGAGAGAGAGAGAGAGAGAGAATTGGATTGTTAAAAGGGCAGTGCACAAATTTTAGCTGTGGTACAAGGGTAAAGGGGGAAGGGGGCAGAACCTGGCTTGATCAAGGAGTAGTGTACACATTTTACCTGTGGGACAAGGGTTGAGGGGCATGGGGGAGGGGATGTGGTGATGGGTAGGTGTTTGATAGCATGGTAGGGGGCAGGAAGTGGATTGCTTAAGGAGCAGTGCTCACATTCCACCTGTGATACAAGGGATGAGGGTAGGGGATGGAGAGCGGACAGATGATGGGGGAGGGGGACAGGTAAGTAGAAAGGGGGAGTGAAAGTGGAGGTTCACACTGTACAAAGATGTGGGTGGTATAAAGTGTTTACACAGGACACCCTCTCCAACATGGGGACACCTCATACTCTGACATTCCCCTTCTATATCAATCTGGCCTCTCAGGCCTTGCCATCCTCTACACAAGCATTTGCTCATTATGAAAGGTGTATGGGTGTGACAGAGATTTATAATTCTCTTACCTTTTATAGAAACTAGCTATAGAGATGTGTCATAGCATAACGTTTGGAAGAATTTGTTTCCTTATTTGGATATGTTTTTTATTTTTAGGCCAGACCAATTTTATTTTTTGTTTTACGGATCAAGAATAGGAAAAAAAATAAATTAATTTTCCCCGCTCAAAAAATAAATCCTAATGTTTTCATTGGCCTAAAACGTAAACTTACAAGAAAAAGTTTTGTTGATTGTCTTTTGCCCCATAAACACTTCATAAATTGCCAACAGTAAAATACTTTTAATATTTAGAAGGAATATTACTTTGACTGGTGATTTTATTTTATTTTTTTCCCCCTCTTGCCTTTAGGTTTTCTGAGGACAAAAATTCGTAAAACAAGAAATAAAATTGGTCTGGCCTTAAGTAAAAATTGGACTTAAACATTCAAGTGAGTGAGTGAATATCTATGTCACCTATGCTCGCATGCAGCTATGAAAGTCACCAAGCTGTATAGAAAACAGATGCACCAACAATGGAGTCTTTATTGTTAAACTCTTTGGACACTTCATTCTTGCCTTGGCCCGACTGGACCACGGATGATTCCAACTAAGCTGGTCTTACAGGTAACCAAGTGGACAGTAAGCTGCTTCATGGTCCTTGATCAAAACATCAATCACAGAATTGTCTAGTTCAGATTCAGTTATCTACTGGTCAACGTCATCTTGAGTTGAGTTGGGTTCAACACCTCTTGGAACAGTTACATCACAGCATGCCAGCTCTGTGTGGAGAAGAGGCTGTGGTGATTGGAGATCCTAGACGCTGCCACTTAGTGAACACTATGGTGGCAAACCTGGACTCAGGCATACAACTCTTTCCACTAGCTTTAACAATGAGGATAACTGTCTACCCCAGTTTCTCAAAGCTAACAAATTTCCCATAAGACCTTACTATACAAAAAACAGTCTGCAATACTTCAGCCATATAAGAAGACACCCAAATAACTGAGCCCAAGGCACACAAACTAATGGTTGATAGCATCAACAAACCTCAATGACTTCAGGGGAGATCACACCTAACCACTAGATCTTCACTTTAGCTGAACCCGTGAAGGTCCGGGTTAGAATATTGATCTTCAGTAACCCATGCTTGTCATAAGAGGCTGACTAACGGGATCGGGTGGTCAGGCTCACTGACTGGTTTGACACATGTCATAGTGCTCCAGTTGCGTAGATCGATGCTCATGTTGTTGATCCCTGGATTGCCTGGTTCTAACTCAATTATTTACAGACCGACATTTTATTGTTGGAATATTGCTGAGTGCGGCATTAAACAACAAACCAACCAATCACCTTAGCTGACACTAAGTACAGGGTAGTGCGGGTCTCCTGCCTTAGAGTCCCTGAAGGACTGTTAATGTACACTTTGTCAGACACACTGACCAATACAATTATTTAAAGTCATTTCTCAGAGGCGGACTCATTGCAACAAATTGGCTTTATAGAATATATCCCCTTGTGGTTAGTCAGGCTTGGTTGTCCACGGTATGAAGAACACCCACAGTTGTGTAGAGACTACCATGGAACACTCTTCCCAGAATCATCATGAGACTTTCTTGGGGAAATTTGTTGAAAACAATTGATAACAATTATTACAAATTTGTGACTAAATCTTATAATGTTTATCTCCTCTTTCAGATGAAATAATATTTTATCTTGACTGATAAAATAGTTTCTCACTTCTAATTTTCACACCCGTGAAGGTCCGGGTTAGAATTGATCTTCAGTAACCCATGCTTGTCATAAGAGGCGACTAACGGGATTGGGTGGTCAGGCTTGCTGACTTGGTTGACACATGTCATCAGTTCCCAATTGCACAGGTCGATGCTCATGCTGTTGATCACTGGATTGTCTGATCCAGACTCGATTATTTACAGACCATATAGCTGGAATATTGCTGAGTGCAGCAAAAAACTAAACTCACTCACTCACTCATCCTAATTCTCCCTCATCGACAACACTCAACAGTTGGTTCAGCATAACCTAATTTGTTATGTAAATGACTGCAATTCTGCTTGGCATTAGGATACGTTGAACATCACGTAAACAGGCACTGTTATTTCCATCTCTGTACTTACTCACTCATCCTAAAAACAGTAGAATGTCCTCATGAACTTGTTTTTTATGTTGTGTTTGATAAACAATTCAAAACGTGTTATTAAAACCAGACCACTTTAAGACCCCTAAATACTTCATTTCAACTTATAATCTCATTGTTGCTTTCTTTCTAGAAGTGTTGTCACTGACAAATTGTTTTTACCTGATTTCCTTTAATAAATGCTGATGTGAACATTGAACCATTAAACATTGAACATCAAACTCTAAGGAGGAAGTCAGATATCCTGAAATATATTTAACTTTCATGATATAAAAAAGTGGTGTTCGAACACAAACAAAACTTGATGCAAATAATTCTCTGAAAAAAATAAACACTTTGAAAAGGCCAAAGGATTTATGATATTGCTCACACACTTACTAAAGAAAACATGGTATTAGCAAATAGTCATGGCTTTCAGCGCGAAAATGAATCTGGCTGATGCCATTGTTGTCTCATGAATTCCACTCTCTTTTTACAGCAATCTCGATTTCTATAATGTTTTCAAACCCCTGGCATAAATCACGCTCCTGTTAACGTTTATAAATGCATTCTGTCCAGGTCCCGCCATGACATACGTTAAAACGCCATTCACGAGGAGTGTTATCCTAAACCTAATCCCGCTCGGCTCCTAAATGTCCCCATCTTCCTCAGTGGGAAGCGTGCACCACACTTGCCGCCACATACCCACTGCAACAATACAGGTTGCCACAAAACCAATTATAGGCAGGATGAGCTTCGCGCTATTTGTATTGCATGTTGTATGTATCATGCACACACTGACACATGTGGATGAATATATCGTGTCGACGTATCAATTCAGAAGAAAAACTCACCAAGATATTGTGTGTTTTTATAAATATTGCAGAAAATACAAAACATATTTCGTAATAAGTCATGAGACAGCATGAATTCACAAGTTGCCAACACATTACGGTACAATGAGGTCATTCAAGCCTTAGGTCTCCTTTCAAATAAAAAATGAAATATGGAAATAAGAAGGTTTTACAATCGTTTATGAATAAATTTGTTTCAATACAATATGTCATCATGTTTGCCAAGTCAGGCTGGGACAGATACAGTAGACATCATAGACACCAATTATGGACATCAATCAGGGGTAATTTTAGATGACACACAAAGCCAGACATTGTGTTGTGCTGTAGTCAGCAATATTCCAACTACCAGCATCTTTTTCACTTCAACATATCTTAGCAAGGGACTCCAGAAAAGTAACCTCCAGGAATTTTACAGGAAATATAAGGGTCCTTAAAAGTTATGACATAGTGCGGAGCTCTGTAAGATTCAGTAATTACTTTAATCAGAGGATCCTTATATTTCTTAACAAGTGCGTGCGTGAGTGAGTGAGTATGGTTTTATGCTGCTTTTAGCAATATTCCAACATCATGGCGGGGGACACTAGAAATGGGCTTCACACATTGTATCCAAGGGGAATCGAACCTGGGCCTTCGGCACGATGAGTGAACACTTTAACCACTAGCCTACCTCACCACCCATTTTCTTATCAATATATTGGTACAAAAAATATCATTGTGTATCCCTTGGGATGCTATAGTTTTTTGTGTTTGTGTCTATCCTATATTTTTCTGCATAGGGTACGCAAATTTCTGCCTATTGTAAAATCATGCCTTGCAGTACACAAATAATTATATCTGGCTGGTAAAACTTGAGACCGAAAGCATCGAATAGCATCTGAGTCTCTCAGGGTAGGATGACTTGCAATCAGTTGAGTATTCGAACATAACCACCTGATCCAGTTTATGACAAGCAATGGAGCATTGGGGAATTATTCTAACCTGCGTCTCATGAGTGTTACTAATGAGAGTAGTAGGCACAGTAGGCAATTAAGCATGGTCCCCAAATGCCTATTGTAGGCCCCTGCATGCATGGAGTATGAAGACATCAGGAGCTCATACATGTGTGAGGTGTCCTGTGAAATCTCCATCTCATGTTGCCAGTGTTATACTTACCCATATTTCGGATTGTCACTGTAAGATTCACGTAGTAAGTTCCAACATCCTTAAAGACAAACTGGGCCATCGGAATCAATGTTTCTCTTGTCACTTGGCCAGGAAACGTCCATCTGTAGATGAATTCTTTCCTCTTCAATATCTGCCCTGAAACATCAACAAAAGGTGATTGTTAAGCAATGGTTGGAGTTTATTGCGTCTGCTATGAATAAGAATGTAATCCACTGCTAAAAGCAAAATCAGTGCATCTCGACAGATGATATTCGAGTAATGGTTTAAGTCGTATTTTGTTGTGCCCTCAATAAAACCACACTGTTTCAGTGGTATTTTGTTGTGCTCTCAATAAAACAACAATGTTACAGTGGTATTTTGTTGTGCCCTCAATAAAACCACATCGTTTTAGTGGTATTTTGTTTTGTTCTAATAAAACCATGACAAAGATTCACTAATGAAAATCAAACTACTGGATCCAAGGAATTGTTTTAGACACCATAACTTTGATACCAGACTTTATAATTATTGAGACAGTCTGCCACCTTTGTCTTAAAATTGTCAATATCTATCAAAAAGTAGAAATGCAATGCAATGCTGTATTTATTCGTGAAAACATTTCTTCATTGCCCAAGCATCTATTATGCATAGGCCAATCGGACATCTAGGTCAGTATTTCATAATCATATCAGAACGGTAGCTGAATTTACATGGTGTTAGGCAGTGCACATGAACCCAAATGAACCTGCCCATACTAGAAAACTGATTTAATGTGATAAAGTACACTCCACAATTGCTGGTGTCAATTTGATCCACGTAATGATTGTTTGATGAATACCACTGTTTGTCAAACCAGAAGGTCTTCAATACAAATTTGAATGGCATGGTTGTAATGTGGATTAAAGAAAACATTCAGTTTATTTATTCACACGAAAAGACATGAGATCTAAATCTACTTCACTGGCTCTTGCCCTGATTGCCACCTGGGGAGGCCATTTTTCTAATGTTTTTCGAAGACATCGCAGTTCAGGTCGTCTTTGTTCAGACAGATGCCAACATGGGTAATTTCCATTAAGAACTTACAGCACCAAGCTCACCGACTTGTTGTGATAGACATTATATATTTTCTCTGCACAAGCTAGTCAAACATTTTTGATATTTAGGTAACACTCTAATTACCTTCACTCTTGGCAACAAACACTGTTGGCAACTCTTTAATGGCATGACCTTGACGTTGGATTTTGAACCTCTGGACTGGCTTATACACTCTTACTTGCAAGCTGTTGGAAGCATTGGAAATATTGTTGAAAACGTAGACTGTGACATTATAGACACCTGGTGAGGTGAAGTTATAAGCTCTGTAGATGTTTGCACCCGAAGTTGAGTCCAGGTCATAGTTTTGTCGTCCTTCTCCAAAATCAAACTGAACATTAACTTGACATTTGCACGTTGGACGAATGAAAAACAGCCCCTTTTGGTTGACTAGCTGATCTTGTGAGAAAATGTCAACTGACTTGATTTCTTGTTCCACATATATTGGTTGTTCTAAATGGGCAATCATCCTGCTGATATAGTTTGAAGCCATGACACTGATATAATATACCCCATCTTGGTGAAATGAATGGAACACAGTTGATGTCAGGTTTCCATAAGTTTTCTTGCCGGCTGTCATGTCTTTTAAGTTCCATTCAAATGTGACACCACTCCCTGAATCGATGCTGGCGGTACAGGTGATTTCCTGTCCAAGGCGGACATAAATGTATGGGTGACATGTTATTGAGAGACCTGAGATTGCGGTCTGAGCAAGTATTTCTTTAACTGTTGACACAGAATTGATCCTGTTGGAGGCTGTGACTGCCAACTCATACTGCCCTGGCTCTGTGAAATTGTAGAACAGTTGGGCATGGGAGGTGGTGAAGTTATCAACCACTGACTTCTCTCTGTCAAATATTGTCCACACCACGCTCAGGTTCACAGAAGATTTTGTGAAGTGAAGTAGGAACAGTGCAGTCCTGTTGACCATTATGTATTCTTCAAACTGCAATCTGGGTCCTGACAGCTGGTTCTGGATGACGAGCTCCTGCCTCAGAGCCATCTTGAGGTAGCCCACGCTGCTGGAGACGTGGATCTGGGGCATGTAGGTGCCCTCCAGGACGTAGGTGTACTGGAAGATGATGCTGAGGTTGCAGCCCTCACCGTAGCTGGCAGCAAGGCCAAAACCATCAAGTGTAGGGCTACCTTCAAGAACATTCTGGCCGTTCTCTAATGTCCTGTTCTTATGTTCTCTCAAGGACATCTTCTTTTCTTCACCAATCCCAAAGTTGACTCGGAGGAAGGTATGTTGGCGCTCTGTGGTTTCCAGGGTAACCAGAAACGTGACAGGTTCATAAGTTTTGAGGACACCATGGTCTGAGTCTTCATGAAGGTCAAAAGTGACATCACCAAGTCTCTGTTCCATGACAACCTGTCAACAAAGGAAAAAGGTTTTACTATTTGCCGTGTATCTGAGGAAAGTAAACACTGGGATCTTTTTTGCAATGACAATGTATATTAAATAGCAGGGAAGGGAAATGAAGGGACTTAACTCCATAGTCCATCAGTATCGCGACAAAGTGTTGACAATGAAGTCTGCCTCAGCTACAGCAGTGGTTGACAGCATGAGCAACAGCTAATCCACACTGAGGATGATCTATGTTCCCAACAGCTAATCCGGACTGAGGATGACCTATGTTCCCAACAACTAATCCACACTGAGGATGACCTATGTTCCCAACAACTAATCCACACTGAGGATGACCTATGTTCCCAACAACAATCCTGAGGATGACCTATGTTCCCAACAACTAATCCACACTGAGGATGACCTATGTTCCTATGTTCCCAACAACTAATCCACACTGAGGATGACCTATGTTCCCAACAACTAATCCACACTGAGGATGACCTATGTTCCCAACAACTAATCCACACTGAGGATGACCTATGTTCCTAACAACTAATCCACACTGAGGATGACCTATGTTCCTAACAACTAATCCACACTGAGGATGACCTATGTTCTGGCAGCCACTCATCTTCACCACCTGACACAAAGTTCTTAAGACATGCTTTGGGTACTGGGGACCTATTTTGCTCCAGAATCCTAAGCTCCCAATTGTAGGGAAACACAAAACGAACAACAGCACCAACATCAACGTCTTTCAAGAGGAAAACACCATTTACACCAGTTGCAGACAGCTGCCTCAAGCCTTAAGCCCGAACATAAACTCTTGATATCAATAATGGAAAGCTAGTATGTTTTCAGAACATATTAACAGCTTGACAGAGACTGTTTCCTTCACAATGATATATCCACAAAAGATACATATAACATATACTGAGAGAAACAAATAAAGGAACACATCAAAATTCAAGTGCTCCTTTAATATTTTCCAGTGTTCATCACCAGCTTTGAATAGCGCTGTGGGAGGAAACGTGAGAATAAATAAAGGAGCATTGCCATGAAGTGGTGTTCCCTTATTTGTTTCCCTCAGTAGATACAAATTAAAAAACCCATTGAGATCATGTCTTCCTGCTAGCCTCCAACGTTGACAACTCTACTCAGAAATAGAGCTTCCTAGCTTTCTACAATATCCACCAACACCTATTATCAAATTTAAAACGTGACAATAACTTTCAGAAAGACATCAATGCTTGCTTTGAAAAACATGTAACATGAGAAGATGGAACAAACACCTGTAACGTATTTACGTCTCCAACATTATCACTGTTTAGCTGCCCGAAACGACAAAACAGGTAACTCACACATTCAAAACCAGTCCATCTTTTGAACACCCATTGAAATGGACAGCAATATGCTAGCGACAAAGCTTCACGTGACACATACAGCAAATAATATGATTAAACCAGAATATTAATAGCCTCGCATTCACTTCCCCTGTTCTGACGTAATTATAGAGCACTTATGGTTGTAAATACATTCCAAGCTGTAGTAGTGGTCTAAACCTGGAGTGATTGTCCTCTCTAACAAGACACAAGTTTCTCTCCTTCAAGACAAGCTATTAGCAACAGGATGTTTAGCTGGGAGAAATGTCCATTTATTTTCAGAACCTAAGTGCACTGGACACATCAAGCAATGCATTATCTTCCAATAGGAAATAAACAATACCTTTGGCATTAAGAACAGAATTATTTATTTCATGCAAGCATTTTTTGTCATAAAACAAAATTACCAGTGTGCCCTTTTGTACTTGGTGAACTCAATTTTAGCAGTGCACATTGCATTTCAATTTTCTTGTTAATTGGTGCAAATTTTTCAAGATGTGTTCATTAATAGAACCATTATCGAGCATCAATATTTAACCAAGCTGCAGATTGTTCAGATACTGTTGTGTTGAAGGAACTGACAATCCAGCTTCAAACAGATGATAATTGTGCACGCAAGACAAGAGGAAATGTGTTGGAGGAACAGATGAACAAATCAGATTAAGTTCGTTCTTGGGCCTGAGGTACAAAATGTTAAAACGTCTTTTGATTAACTTATTGTTATATTACTAAATATGGTGTCGTTACCATATAAGGGAATCCATGAATCAATGAGTTTCTTGGAAGGTTACAAACACAAAGTATTTCTACTGTTTTCCACCAATTTTTTCAACTTCTGGCTTGTTTTTATTTCAAGCAATATTCCAACAATGTCGCAGTTGGGGACCCATCAATGGGATTTCACACATTGTACTGAAGTGGGGATTCAAAGATAATTCTGCTACATGAACAGTAAATGTTTCTACACAAGGCTACCCACCACCCAGTGTAAAGCATTCAATGCCTGGAGATTTTGTTTGGAACCTTTGTTGAAACCCAGAGGTTTCAATTTTAAAATTCCAGGCAGCACATACTGAATAACACTTTCAGATTTCAAAACACATACTTATCGATACAGTAAATACGTAGAAATATTGGTAATTTTCCATTGTACTCTGTTTCTACACTTGGCCAAACACTTGTGAGAATTGCATGATGTAGGTTTGGAATACTATGACAGTGAGTGAGTGAGTGTGGTTTTAATCTGTTTTCTTAAAAATATTGCAGCAATATGATGGCGTGGGACACCAGAAATGGGCTTCACACATTGTACCCATGTGGGGAATCGAACCCGGTCTTCAGCATGACGAGCAATCATTTTAACCACTAGGCTACCCCACCGCCCCCATGATACAATGACCGCCATATAGCTGAAATATTGCTGAGTGCGGCGTAAAACTAAACTTACTCATGATACAATGAAGAATGTCAGTATGCTTCCATCTATGCAAAAGTAATTATCAAATGCACTATTCCTGTTGCCATGGTATGCTTATCAGGAAACGTGTTCATACACAAAAAAACAGAACAGGGAAGTTACAGGTTTCAATTCGCAATTAACAACCCTTCAACCAAGCTGATTACAACACTCACTCCCATTCTTTTTACAATGGAACTGTGAAAAGGAATCATTTTCTGAAACAGGCACTAGATTCATAAAGCTAATGGAGAAGGCTGTTTTTTTTCTGTGATCATCAATTAATTACAAGATTACATGACTGGACATTCGTTTCCTCCCAGCTGAAATGACTCACGTGATGACGACTGGAAACAAGGCCATAATAAACACAGCACCAGCACATGGCAATTCACTTCCAACTGCTACAATGGGCCTAATGATGCACCAGGCAGCTTCACAGCCCTACAGCAAAAAACTGCTTGATATGACATTTAATACATTACACAGTTTGAGCTTGTCTCTCAATATTTAACGATCTTTAAATCCAGTTGTTCTTCACCACACTTGTTGCTGTTACGGCATAAGTGTGTAGCCATTCTTATGTAGCTGTATAATTAAAGATGGCTTCTTAAGGACTTTGATTTTAAATTTGTCCAACTTTGACAAACATCGATTAAATTACAAATTTGTAGAACAATCTTATTCCCTATGTGTTGTCAGCTAATTGCAGTCATGAAACATATCAAAAGTAGGCCAACAATGGAATAATACTTTGTAATCAAAAAGTTTCGTATAATTAACTTCAGTTAATTAACTACAAGATTTTATCCAAAATTTACAAACAATGTGCAATGGGATTCTTCTCTCTTCTTTTCTTCTCTCAACCTCGAGGTACTATCCATCACAAGAGTAAAACCATACTCAAATCTCTCTTGAACATAGATAACTGACAACCTTTGACTGTATCATGTGCTCATGCTTTCAACCACTGGTTTGGCTGGTCCTGGCATTACTATTTACAGGCAGCAATGACATTCTTACTCATTCTTAGAGTGAGTGAGTGAGTGAGTGAGTGAATGAATGAAGTTTTATACTGCTTTTAGCAATATTCAAGCAATATCTAGGTGGAGGACACCAGAAATGGGCTTTGCACATTGTACCCATGTGGGGAATCGAACCCGAACCCGCTTTAACCACTAGGCTACCCCACCGCCCCTTCTCATTCTTAGAACCGACAACCACTCAAAACTGTGCAACCACAAACTCTTGAAATCATGTCCAACTAAATCAGAGGGTCTTTGAGATATTTCCATATTTCCAGCCATTTTGATCATTTAGTCACAATTCCCATTTTAGTCACTGTAACCAATTATGGTACCAAGGAAACCAAACTCCATGTTCTCCCATACAAACATTTATCAGCTGCTGATACTGTGTGTTGTTATAGAAACAGATTACAAGATTGATTGGGTAATCTGAATGTACCATGATCAACTTTGTGACAGGCACCAATTTCAGATAAACTTGTGTACAGATAAGGAGAATATTACAAATTCATCTCTTGAGAACTATATCTGAGATTTGAAGCTTTGTTCAATACCCATCTTTCCAGCCAAGATGAATGGTAGCTGTCATATTTGACACAGAGATCTTGCTGCTACAAAAGTCAACGCTCGAGTAAACAATAATCACAGCACCAAGATGACTTTGAGGAACGAGGCCCAAAGCACACATAAGATTATTTACTTTAAAAAAAACTACACCCTCGTTACTGCTGTAAATTCTTATATTCGTACTAGTTCTATTTAAACAATGTTTACATTTGATTTTAAGTCCTGAAGTTCCCAACAAGTTCATGATGATTAACACATTCCTCCCAAGTTCATCCAGTCCGACAGTAGCCCTCGTCATCACAAGTATTTACATCCAATACTGAAGAACAAAGACGATATGCACCTAATACATGATACAAGGTAATATACATCCCAGTAACAGTTTAATATAAATATCACACTCCCCCAAACAGCCGACAGCTTGACATTTTCTCTCTTTTCCCTCGCCAAGTACATCTTCAATTTGGCATTTGAGTTGAGCTTTCCCTGCATGCCTTGATGTCTGTGCTGTGTGCACACAAATAGCCCCAGGGTCTCGCACAGCTCCCTGGCAGTTTGTTTTCCTTTCCTCCCCTCCTTCATATCCATGGTACCCCTTCCTTACCCCCCTTATGGCTGTCCCCCTCACATCGTCCCCCATCCTCTGCTGCCTCACCCCCACCCCCTCGTGTCTCACCATATCATCTTCCCACTCACATTATCTTGTACCTGAAATGTTGTCATCTGTAAATATTTAGAGGCAATGAAATATTTGTTGGAATGCAATGATAATTCTTACATAACAGTTTACAAGGTGTTTACTGATATGCTTCTCTTAATCTGTCCTTGGTAAGTTATGTGGAGTGGAGTGTCATGTCGTTTTACATTTGGTGTGATTGGTGTGGTGTGGCATGGTGTAGCATGGTGTGGCATGGTGTAGCATGATGTGGCATGTGGTTTAGTGTCGTGTGGTTAGGCATGGAGTGGTGTGGTGTGGTGAGGCATGGTGTGATTTGGTGTAGTGTGGCATGGTGTGGTGTGGTCTTGTCTCGAGTACGGTGGGATGGGGTATGATACACAAGTGTGTGATGGGGCATTTTGTACTGGTGTGGTGTTGTCTTGTCTGGTGAGACATGGTGTGATGTGGTGAGGCATGGAGTGGTGTGGTGAGGTCTTGGGGCATGAGATACAAGTGTGGTATGGGGTATGGTGTGGCGGTGTGGGGGAGTGTGGCATTTAGTGGCCTGGTTTGGGTGTGGTGTGGCATGGGTGTGGCATGGTGTGGTGTGGCATGGCATGGCATGGCATGGCATGGCATGGCATGGCATACATACATATGCATACCCACAACACCTGGTACAGTATTCACATCCCTACCACCTTGCTGTACATCCATGTACAAGCAAATTGAAACACTACAAAAAATAACACCCCAAAGGTCACCTGCAGTAAACAGCAAACCCAATGGTCCTACATATGACATTAATACCATTGTCATATAATTATTTTCCTGGACGAACTCCGACACAAAGCTTTGTCTGGGCCAGTCCATACAACAATAAATGATCAAGCACCCAGTAAGGGTTTTAGTGTCCACACATTCCTGATAGTGTGTGCCCATATGGCGGCCATCTCACAATGAATCTGGAAAATCTGGGTATATTTGTACAGGAGGAAAGACAACAACATGTTGGCTGACCGATTTCATCAATGGTGTCAATGCTTCATATCACGGACAAGTCTGTCAAAACGGCCACATACGCCTACTTATGAACTTCAGGTTGTCCTTTCTCCATGAATATGGTACTTCAAGACTACCAATTTCTGTTTCTGTGATAAGAAGATTGTGAACACAGACAAAACAAACAGAAGGGATAAATCTGATTAGAGACTGACATTTGGTAGAATCAGCCAAACCATCTCCACTTGTAACAAAAGTATCAAAGACGGTGAAATAAATACGTCTAATTCCGGGGGTACTATCTGTCCTGAAGGAGAATCCTAGACATGGGCTTGGAGTGTGTATATCAGCAAATAGACATGTAAGTACTCACCACGGTGATGTTCTTGTGTAGAGATCCATACTCATTCTGGACAGTCGCGGCGATAACATACACCCCGGTCTTGGTGAACTCATAGTCCTGAAATTAGACATGGGAGGGTCAGTAAAGTCGTCATCATCATCATCATCATCTTCAGCAGCAGCACCATCATCATCATCATCACAATCTTATTCTTCATCATCATCATCTTCTTCTTCACCCTGTTTCAGTTAAATCCTTTGCCACATTTTCTAGTATACCTTGTAAGTGAATCAAATTCCATAGATTTGCTACATCTCTCTTCTAAGTCCTCAATAGCCATGCTCTCTGCATTGAACACTCCTGATGTCAAACCTTCAATTTCTCAACATTTTTGCATGTTATACATCAAACAAAATTATCAGCTGAAGTTGTAACCAACATCATGTATATTTTCAGTATGTACTTTCCCCTACCCCTCCCTTTGAAGCTGAGGATGAGAAACAGAAACAATATGGTCAGCTAGTGCATCTTTGCTGCACGGGACGATGACCAGAGTCAAGACACAAATGACTGAAAACAAAATATTAACATTAATCATGGACATTCCCCAAGAAATAACACTACATGACAACTGTCCAACCTCCCCCATGAGCGGCTACAGTACCAGACATTAAGGTGATACGTACAAGACTACAGGGCCTCTGGGTGATACAGGGGTTGGTTAAACAGTGACTGGGATAACTGGAAGATGATATCTATATTGGTCATTGGCTACTGGGTAATAAATCAAACAAACATTGATGTACAATATTTCCCATGGAGCACAGAAAGACAGAAAGTCAGAACTGCTTCCCCAATGTTTCCTCAGCAGCGGGGATTCCAGAACATGTTCCATCAAGAACATTTCCTGAGATTTCAAGAACTTATTTGGCATATTAATTCCACAGATTACTGGCAAAGTCCGCAAAGGATGTCTAAATACTGGAAGTATGTTATTTGTATTGAGTTATCTGCAATGGAACCCATCACTACGTATAAGAAATTAAATGTTTTCTCCAGAATCCAAGACATAAGGATTACTGATGCCTCACAGAGATCTTATAAACAAATCGCTGCTTCCTAGCCAATTAACCAACACAAGCATAGACTTGGCTTCATGACTAACTAGTAAATGTGTTTAACCAATGAGCAAATTACAAATTATGTTAGTTATTATTCCCCATCTGTATGAGACCAGTGACAATAATGAACACCATCATCACTCTGTAAGTCCAGTCACAATACTTACACATCCTCGCACTCCATCACAGCGTGCTCGATAATGCTAGCAGGCAGTCTGGTCAATTTCACCCAATGCTGCGTCCATTTATCACACAATTTGCCATATTCCACACCATAATGTTCACAAGATATTCAACTACTGTCAATATCAAATCTGGCTCCCAATGACAGAATGGCCCATTAAGATGTGACACTATCGTGTAAATTATGTAATTCGTGATGTTACATCCAGGGGGAATCACAAGCCCTACCATCACACGCGGCCGTGTAATTTAAGGCTTGTTATGTTATCAGCCTTGTTGTAACTTCGGCCAATAAATCCCCGATAAAATCAGACAATCAACCGCCCCAAAACATTGGGTGGAATCTGACATACAGAGGCCCTATCGAGGTTGTGGCAATTTGTCAGATAACTACCTCATCTATACAAAGCATAATGTGAATTAGATATTTGATACAGCACACAATTATGGATCTTTTATTTTAAAATGATCTGGTTCCTTTCTGTCATTTCTTACATTTTCTTATGAAATATACATATCTGGAAATCATTCTTATAAATTATTCATAGTACTTCTAAAACTATTCATGAAAAAAATGCAGTTACAAATCTCTTGTGTTTTTTCACTAAAGATGAACATGAAATCTTATTTAAAAAATCTATTTTTTGTATCTTACTCATTGATTCACCAGTTAAACAAAAATGCTATCAAAGCCTCAGTGAAATGCTGAATTTTATCACTGTTACAGGTGTATGTACCTTCAGTGTAGAAGGCACTTGGCAATGGGTTAGATCAAGGCCCAATTCTGAGGTTTATTGGACAACTTTACTACCTGAGACAATTTATTACCAAACTTGACTTTGCTAAGCTCAATGTTTATGAGTTTGAAACTTATTATCACGGACATTAGCCTAAGTTTGACATGGTTGTGCTGGGAGCTGTAGACACTCTCCCCCATTATCTTCTTTCCCCTGGGAACAGCCACAGAGGACATCTGAAGCAACACCGTGGAACCTGGCTGAGAACCAGCATGAGGTCCACTGTTGACATGTCACCTAAATTTACTCATATTAAAGACAATGTCTCACACCTGTTAAAGAGTGTCAGTCACAACAGCCATGTTGGAATGCTGTTAGTAATTCCTTATGGTGAGTGAGTTTAGTTTTACGCCGCTTTTAGCTCTATTCCAGCAATATCATGGTGGAGGGGGACACCAGAAATGGGCTTCACACATTGTGCCAATGTGGGGAATTTAACCCGGGTCTTCGGCATGACGCTTTTACCACTAGGCTACCCCACCGCCCCAATTCCTTATGGTTGAGGATGTCTTCATGCATTGACATCAACATGTGCAAGAACGCTACACACAGATACATAGATCTCCCTGAACTTGCTGCCACAGTCTTAGTGAGTGAGTGAGTTTAGCTTATGCCACTTTTAGCAGGCAATATTCCAGCAATATCATGGCGGGGGACACCAGAATAGACTTCACACATTGTACCCATGTGGGGAATCGAACCCGGGTCTTTGGCGTGACGAGTGGACGCATTAACCACTAGGCTACCCCACCACCCCCGCCACAGTCTTATAGCTCATAGAATTGATGTTCCTCTAGTCATGATTCACTGTACATGTATGTTTACCTGTATAGTCAACTCTAGCCCCTCCAGTTTCAAGAATAATTACAAGAAATGCTTTACTAAGCATTTGTCTTTAAAGAAGCATACAATTTCAAAAATATCAACATGAGAACATATTTGATTATTTTAGCCATTGTTAACAGAAACTTTTTTTGCCAAGACTCTTGTAATCTCATTCAAGATTCAACCTTATTTGCATTCCAAATACATACTTTGGTAGAATAGCTAAGCGCTGTAAGATGCTTGATCAAAACAAATATATAAAAGAAATGTTGGAACAAAAGAAAAACAGGAAAATATCTAATCTGCAAAAATGTTAAATGTGGCGCTGTGTAATTCAAAGCATAAACAAGTAACCTTGTTTATATATTTTTATCTTTTTTATATAGTTCCCTGTTTGAATTCGACTTGAAAGAGGTGAGATCAAAAACACAACATAAAAATGAAGCGAGAAAAAAAGCACTATTTCATATCCTTCTTCAAAGTTGCAACTCGTGGCTAAGTTGCCCTGATGACGGTGGCCATGGAATTGCTGTATTAACCATGTTATTTCTTCAAACAAGCCTGACTGGTATTTTATCCCTGGGTCAACAAACGCTGCAATAAATGGCCTAGCAACATTCAGAAAATAATCCCTCTCAATCCTGGTCATGTCAAACAACGCAAAGCCTTCAGTACATCTGCCACAACAACCCAAAGCTAACTTCAAAGTCAAGCCAAAAAATAATGCAAACAGTATCAGTAAACTTTTTTATCATGTGATCAGATTTATTGAGCCAATATGCAAATAGTGTTCTGCGATCGGGTAATAAACATGTCCCCGTTACCTGATTTGGGAACAGTGCGGAAGATTTACTATTCAGATTCTAATTAAATGTAAGAGATAAGCTACATTTAAACCAAATGTCTTCGTCTTAAGAGTCTTATCAAACTTTGTTACTACTGCTGGAAAAGAATATATTTTCTTTTTGGACATCTGGTGCTCATGATAATATTACAATTTTGTTGTTACCGATAGAAAAGGATATAACTCCTTTCTGGACACCTGGTGTTTAAGATATCATTACAGCGTAAGTTTTCATTTTGTTTTTGATAGAACTGTTTTAATTCTGTGACAGGTTTTCAATAGAGAGTGGTTTGTAAAACACTTTATGACTACAACCAATCCATGGGAGGAGACACATGAATATGGTTTTACTTACTGTACCCGGGGATGAAACTCGAGTCTTTGGTGTGATGAGCAAACACCTTAACCACTCAACTAACTGTAGCCACCCTCTCATTGCCCTACTGTCTTCATAATATAGACATGTATATATATATATACAGTTTCATCAGTCATCATCATTATATATTCTCCTGCAGTTGAATGTCAGCCTACTAACTTTGGTACCCTGTTCAGCCTATGATTTATCCAGCTTCACCTGGACTTCCCCCTTCTATTAATAGCTACTTCCAGCACTTCATATAACTGTCCAGCACCCTTTGACACCTGTCAGATGCTACCTGTCCTCTGATTGGCCTTTTGGTCAATTTCTCTGAACGTCCTTTCTCATATTACATACATAAAATTCTACATGAACTCGAATGGATGGAGGTTATTTCATTTCAATTGCATTGAAATAAAATCCTTTTCATTCAGAACTGTCTTGTTTTGACCAGCAGCTCAGTGACTGGACACTTGTACACCATGGCAACATAACTATGCTCCATTCCTAATAATCAGTGTTGGAAGTCATTACCTATGTAAGTATTTTTACATCAAGTAACACATCTAAAAATATTCTAAAAAAAGAATTAATTATGCATTCATAAAAAATAGAATGACATATATTACGTTCTTTGTTAATTTCATATATGACAAAGATTTACCCTTTCTTAAAAGGTTGTCTATTTACTCTCCTAGATCTACAGAGAGACCATCTATGCTGATCTAAGTGCACATGGTTCAAGAGGGAATTAAAGAATTGAGAGAAACCAAACATCCCACAAATACACTACATGACTTTGCTCTTAAATTGCTGTCAAGATATAAGAAGTTTAACGTCAGCAATGCAACTCCAATTTCATAACATGTACAATTAAAGCTCAAGCTTGAAATCAATATGTTGGTCACTAACCGTTATTTTTGTTCCATTCAAGTTGCTGGGATATGAGAAAGAACATAAGTTCAAAGGCCACTGCTGCCTATCAC